ACAAACGCGGCCCAGTTCTCCCCTTTCACACATTCTCAGCTCTGGCTGGGTGGTGCAGCATAAAAGGACAACTTGAAATCCACCACAGTCACAGACACTCAACTGTAAATTTGAGATTTATGGACTCTGTGAGGAAATAGCTTTTGCTGCATTAAAACTAATGAATTTTGCTAAATGGTTGAGGGCTGTGCGTGCTCACATTATTATTGCTATGATATAAAATCCACTTAGTAAAGAGTAAAGCCCCTAATCTCTGTATTTCATCGCAGTTATCCTTCATAAGCAGCTGTAGTATTTGTTAGCATGTTTCTGCTGAGACGACTGGGACATGGGCCAGGGGAATTGTGCTGTAGTATCTTACAGCATTTTTTAGTGGACCCGATCAGCTCCACTACACACAGCCTGCTTGTAATTGGTCTGAGTTTAAGGTTATGGGGTTACACGCTAGAGGACCGGCGTTGTGAGACGTGCCAGGATGCACTCATGGACTATGTATTGTTTAGCCTGTGGTCTAAAGGATTGGAATCAAAGGGATTGGCCCTATAAACTGAGGGCATGTGTCTGTTGACAGATATACAGTTTTAGTTCAAGATGGATTGTGAGTAAGGGTTAACATTAAGATGTAACTGGAAATTGCTCTGCTTCCCTCCCTGTCTAATGTTTGAAATGGGTACACTGTAACAGTTTTGGAGTCAGGAGGGCAAACGGAAATGAATTGGCATGCCTCAGCTACACCGCGATGTGAGTTGGCAGAATTAGGGCACTGTCCTGGTGGTGTTATGAAGACAAGAAGGCCAAAGCAGACGGGATCTGTGCCACTTCTTACTCTGCCTCTGTGTGATCTCTAAGCATGTCGAGCAACACAAGTGTTAATGCAGGGTATCATGAAGGGATTATTACAGTGGACACATTTAAACCAGTATTTAGAATATCAACCTTAATCTAAATGATGATTATAGTGATTTCAAGAGTTGCAGAGAGTCCATTCATTTAACCTGTTTTAGGTCTGTGTAATTAACTCTTCCCTCAGAAAATGCATCCATTCAAAGTTTGAATAACCATATTTCTGGAGAAATGAGCTTAGCCTTTGTGTTTTCATTTACATAAGCCGTTTTGTTGCCTGATCTTATGAAAGAAACAAGCAGCCTAGTCTATTTCATCACAAACCCAAAGCAAGAAACTATGCTCTTAGAAATACACTGATGTCAAACAATAGAAAATGGCTCACACTTTCCTGACCTTTTTTTTTTGCCTTTCAGTCATTATCTGGTATCTGTGTTGATTCTCAGTCATGCATGTGATGGTCATCCAAAGAGTTTTAGTAAACTTGACGTCTTTTTGGATCTTGAAGGCATTCACCTCTAATCCTAAAGACCTCAGAACTTTTAGGATTATCTGGTACCTCTTTATAATCTTTATACTTTAAGGACAGAGGGTGTCGTTGTGGCTTCTGTCTCCATTTCCTGCTTTTAAATGTAAAAAACTGTGATTCTCAAAAAAAGGGAAAAAGACATCACTGTAAAAGGTTTAATAATTGTAAAAAAAAAAGTGAAATGTTATTTCCAGCATATAAACTATGTATTTCATGTCATTTTAGAGGACACTGAGTTCACAATGACAGTTAAATGAATCACTCTCATTATGAGTATGCTATGAACAAGCAGTGTGTGATTAAAAAGCCTTATTTCATGTTCCGCTGGCTAGTAAACGCATGTGCGGAGTGAAGAGAAGAGGCTATGATGCGTGATTATGTGTGAAGTGAAAGACGATGATGGGATTTCATGAATGACTGTGTGTAGCGTAATACTTCTTTACAGTGGCATATTCTGTAGTTTATTGCTGTATATAAACATGACTCAAATTAGTAGATGCTCGGTGGTAATATGTATAATTGTGGCATTGTGCTTATTATACTGTAATGGAATGGCACTCATGCTTTTCAAGCAGCTGTTGTTCATACTTTGCAGGTCTCCATTTTTTTATGATCACACAGTACTTAAATGGAATCCATCACCATCAAGTTCTTTTGCCACTATATGTCCTGCTTCAAGACACAAAAGCTTTACTGCAGCATTGTGTTTTATACTTTAAAACAGTGCCCTGCACAAACCTTTGGTGCATACATCTCTAGCTTTTTGCCACACCTCGTCTGATGTGCAGAGCAACAGTCTGAGCCGAGTCAGTTTAACAGAGGTCAGCACTGGCTGCGTGCCAGTGGATTTTACATAAACCACCACTGGGAGGAATGTGTCTGGGCACACTTCACAGGAAACACACCTGTGCTAACACACAAAGTTCATGAGGAGTATTGTTTCAGTCTTTTTTTTTGTGCCTGCACCTTGTATTACTGATGTTTTATACAGACACACAGTTCAGTCATTTTAGTTTTCTTGGCATGTTGCTTTCTCGTTGTGAGCTAGATAGAAGGCTACAACAGGTGCAGCAGGTTATGCAGACACTGAGAGGATGATAAAAGCTCTGTGAATGGTGAAGTAAGCACTCTGTTGTTCACGTCTTGCATGGAAACAGGATGAAGCTACAATTGCTACATCAGCTACCTTGTTTCCCAGCAGCTGGTGACATCATGCATGCAGGCCTTTTTCGCTCTCGCCACAGCCGGCTAATGGGCTGTCGCTCAGGCCTGAGTGTTGGTCGTAACTCTCCGGGACTGTGGCTCAAATCAATATTAGAGGAGCCATTAAAAGCAGGAGGAAATATCTAGCCGTCATCTGCTGCAGTCTCCAATGTCCACATTATCACATTGGCAGCATACTGATGTTCATTCACAGAACTTCTTGATGCCCTCCAAATTGTATCATATTCAGTGTGCTCCCCTGCTTCCTGTGTTCCTCTTTTCCGAGCCTTTCATGTTTTGTCTTTTCCTCCATCTTTTATCTTTTTTCCTCTTGTTTTTTCACCCTTCATGTCTTCAGGTTATAACTCATTCTAAAACTTGAAGCACTCATAGTTTAGATGAAACATCTTTATTTTAGGAACTTAATCACCACACACATCAAGATGTAAGCTAAAAACATTGGCTTCAGGACACCGAATCTGCATAATTTGAATATTAAGATTGGGTTGTTGTTGGTTTGTGCGTGTATGTGCGTCATTCAGCACAGTTTTTTCCCTTTCTGGTCAATAAAATGCTTATAACCATTAAGTCACACTGTGCTCTTCCCCTGTGTGCTCTGCTGTTGATACACATCTGGCAAGGGGAGGTAGTGACAGAGGCAAAATAGTCCCAGGATCATCGTCTCACCTTCAGTTTGACTTAACTCCAGACGCTGGCTGTGACGTGATGTGTGAAACGACACAGGGATGTGGGGCTGATTCTCCTATATTTGGCATGTGTGCATTTCAAGCAGCGGGGTTAACAAAAATGTCTTTTTTTTGTGCCAATAAAAAGCAAAGCATGTGTGTGTAGATTACCTTTTCTACATGCTCGGGTAGATGCCTTTGATATTTTTGGATGAAATTACAAACCCACAGCTATGTGTCTGGTCCCTTTTCTATTAAGACCATCTTGTGGAGTGCACAGCTTTAAATGACCCCATGGAAAGATGCTTGTGTCTGCTGTGGAACTTTGCAGCTCCTTGAGGGTTGTGTTTGACCTCTTTGTTTCCTCTCTAATAAATGCTCTCATGGCTCATCTGTGAGCTTTGGTGGTTTGCCCTTTCTTGGCCGGTCTGTTGTGGTGCAATATTCTTTTCCATTTCATAATGTAATGATGCTCCAAGGGCTTTTCAAAGTTTCTGATATGTTTTTAGAGTCTATCCCCGATATGTATTTTTTCTCAACTTTTTCACTGACCTGCTTGGAGACTTTAGTTAGGTTTAATTCGAGCCCCACTGTTGCTGTGATGTTTCAGACATTGGTGTTTATTGAGGCAGTAAAACTGTTATTTGTCTTTTTTCAAGGTAACACGTGCAATAAAACAGTGGATATGGCAGTCAGAAAAAACAGAGCAACTCAGACTGTGCCATTTCAATTACTCACACTGTATAGATGGTATTATTTGAAAATGTATAACCTACTACGATAATCTTTTTGGATTGAGAACCTCGTACTTCAAAATAGTACATTTTCCCATCTGAAGGCTTTAGTATCTGGAGGTACAGAACATAGCTGTTCGATGTCAAATACCTCACAAAATCCATGACTTTTGCCACTAAACCTTACTTCTTTGACTGTGAGCTTAAACTGCATTAAAAGTTTTTAGAACAGCATGTCAGCACTCATATCATACTTAGAATACACGTGAACATTTCCGCCATGCATCCTTGTACAGTGTCTTTTACCCAAAGATGTCCAGTAGCTGCAGGAATTGCGTCGTGCTCCCTGGTCTTAATCAGTGTGCCATCTGCTGAGGAGGCGAGGCAGCAGAGTTGACATTTGAAAAACATACCAACAGGCCAACCAAGAGGAGGGCGGAAAAAGGCTAGGCTAAACATTTGCTGCTGAAACAAAGCACAGCTTCAAAAGCAATTGAGAAATGCAATTTTCTCAATTACTAGTTCTTTTCAGATTCTATAAAAAAACAGATCAATAAAACAAAGTCTTTGTTTGAAACTAAATTGATCTGCAGACCGCCTAAATGCTCTAAACTATTAAGAACACACAGCCGGCCACTGCTTGACCTGCCATGGTTAATCATGTTTTTAGCTATTAACAATCCAAAAAGTATCATTATGGGCCCTCCACTTTGACTCCCTGATGTCAGCATACTCATTCATTCTCTACTGTCAGCTAGCTGCAGTTTCATGTAATACAGATATCCTGTTTTTTCCTCCATTAAGGTTCGTGATCATTGTTGTCTATTTTTCTATTTCTTTACAAAATTATTCAGAAACTGCAAAGCAAAATTAATTAAATGAATGGTGGTTATGGCTGGCTGGAATACAGCATCAGACTGCAGGGCACAAAAAAGAGTTATACTGTACATTAAATGCATGTTGACTGATCTTGTGAAGTAAAGTCAAAAGCATCAACTTATCACTCTGTTTTTCTGTGTTTCAGGGTTTCATCGCAATGAGGATATGAAGGCTATTGATGTGCTTCCCATCCTCAAGGAGAAGGTTGCCTTTCTCTCAGGTAATCAGTGCTGTAGAGAAATTAGAGGTGGAACTTAGCCTAAGTACATATAACATGGCAGCAGACACAAAAGTCCCAGGGATTTGGCAATGATTTGGCAGTTACTGTAGATATCAATTGCTACTGTCCTTGTTCTCATCTATATTTTTGTTCCCACACACTTTCAGCGCTCACCCATAAGCTCAAAGTTTACATTAAGTTTATACTTGATCAGCCACTTCACCAACTGGCTCACAGCTACTGGTGTTTAAAGCTAGTTTAAGCATTTAACCAAGGACAAAGTGTCAAAGCCATTCTTAATAAACCAGAAGCTGCTGCTGAAAGTAAAGTCAGCACAAAGCCAGTAGCATCTTATTATATTTCCCTAGCTTAGCAAGGGGGCACATGCTGGATTTGATCATGAGCCCTATGATAAATATGTGCAATTTGAGAAAGTGTTCTTGTACATTTGAAGTTCATGTGTTAGCTGCACAAGGACTGAAATGCCAAAACCCATTTTGTCACCATGAGATGAATCTGACCCTGGCTCTTTAGTTTGACTCAGAGTGACCATGACTAACTCCGGACAGATCCACAGATGGCACCCACATAAACTGAGCGTCATCTGACAGCACTGCTGCTCTAAGATTGTTCTGGAGGTTATTTGCCTAATTAAACTCACCAGCAACAAAAAATCATTTTGTTTTGAAACCTTGCTTATCCCATCTGTTGTTATGGTTGTTGTTGTTGTTTTTTTAGTTTGCTGGTGGCTTTTACTTAACCTCCCCTCCCATTGCTTTCTTAGATTGCTCTTTTTCTTTTTTTTCTTTTTTTCTCATTTGAAAGCGTTATAACACCAAATCTATACAAAGCATTGCTGACAGTCATATCGACCAATCCTTTTGTCTTCTTTATTTTGTCCAAAGGTGGCAGAGACAGACGTGGGGGTCCAGTTCTCACCTTTCCAGCACGAAGCAACCATGACAGAATACGATCAGAGGATCTGCGTAGGCTTATTGCCTACCTTGCTACTATTCCCAGGTACTGAGTGATACGTTTTCACACATCTTGGAGATTTAAAGATATAAATCCAAATTTTGAACATGCACAAACACTCCCAACACTAATACTGCTACGATCCTGATTAGGCAAACTGCACACATATGACTGCTTTCTTTGGGTCAGGCTTTCTCACCTTGCTTGGGTTGAGAAGAGAAAATTGAAAGAAAAACTAAGGCCACAAAGAGCTGGGCTTGCTTACTTTTGGACTGTCTAAGCAGATTCATTGCCCTTCCTTCTTTTCCTCTTTAATTTCCTCTGAACTCTTTAAAAAAAACCATTCTCTCTCTTCTGTTGCCTGAACACTGCCTAGTCTCCCTCTCCCTGTCCGGTTAAAAAAGTTTGTTGAAATGAACCTTGACTTTAATAATATCTATTATTCTCTATTAGCTACGACTTTTCTTTTCTGCTTCCCTGTTTGTTGTGTCAGAAACTCTACACATGCACCAACCAGAGGGACTTGTAAAGTGGTAGCGTGTGTATTTGAGTCCATGTTGAGCTTCAGATCTAAAAATACCTTTAATATGCTTCTCTGGGCTGTTTTGTTTGAATCCGTTTCGGGTAGCTTGAAGGGGAGCTTGTACTTCTCTGTTTTTGGCTCTCTTATCCCTCTTATCCCCATTCATACTGCACTTTCTTCTGCTTAACTTTTAATTGTAGTGTGTTTAAGTGGAGTTGTGGGATCTTATTGAGGTATGATATAGTTCAGCTCATTTTAGGCACTAGGTCCAGAGACTAGGTCCATGTTGATTACTTTTATTGTGGATGCTCGGGGACCAAAATGGTCTGCGTTTATTCGATGATAAGTTTGCTTTCTTGTTTCTTCCTTGTAAGAACTTACATTTTTTTGGGCGTCAGTAATTCCACTCAACAAGAGTTACAGAGGGATGTAAATACTGTTGAGGGGATTAAGAGGTAGTTTTTGCAATCTTTTAAAAAAATTCAATTAAAAAGAAGGTATGCCCCCCTGTCAGTTTCAAATTTATACATGTCAACATCTCTTTCCTTTAGCAGCAATTACTAAACTACTAACTAAAAAATATGATGATCTATGATGGTTAGAAATTTTGTTATTTCTTGTCAGGTTGATGTTTTAGAAGGGACCATCTCAACCTGTTCAGTTCTGTTGGAGACCTGCTGCTGTGCTTGGGATGGACGGGCTTTTGCATGACCCAGTTTCAGCCTAGCTTTAGCTGCCAGACAGATGGCCTGTTCGCCTGTAGAATATTTTGGTGTTTAGAGGAGTTCATGGTGGACTCATTGGCTGCACGGTTCCCAGGTTGTGCGGCTGCAAAGCAAACCGTCACCAATCTTCTAGAACTCATGTGGTTTGCTCAGATGAAACATAGCAAATCTGAGCCATGCCACCATTTTATTTTTAGAGAGAAGAGGCTTTTCCCTTAAATCCTTCCAAACAAAGCACACTTGTTCAGTCCTTTTCTAATTCTGCTGTCATTTACTTTGACATTTAAAAAGGTTGAGGCCTGTAGAGTCAGGGATGTACTTTTGGGGGTTTTTTTTTTAGTTTCTTTCAGCACTCTATGGTCTAACCTTGGAAGTGAGCTTGCTGGGATGTCTATTCCTATAAAGATGGCAACTATCTTGTTTTTATATTAAATTTTCCCTGGCATTTTGGTATGATCTCGTTTTTACGAGACCTTGATATATCTTGTGAAAAAACAAACTCAAATGACCGTCTTCCAGTGTATATATTTGTATGTTGCATTCCTAAAAAAAAGGAAAAAAACTCTAACCAATTTCCTCTTTTTTTCTAGTCAACTTTCAGCATGGCACTGATTATTAGTTTCATTCAATTTTTTGTGCCTGCTCAAAAATAGTTTCATATTTGCTTGATGGTGAATGTAAGCCTGCTTGATCTGGGCTCTTACAGCTGAAGAACAAACTAGTGGACATACTCTCCTCTAATCAGTGAACAAACTGCATGTGGCCCTATGAATTTGGAGACCTGGACTAAATCAGATTTGACGGCAGTTCATTAAGAAAAAAGGAATATATATATATGTATATATATATTTACAGTAGACATTACAGAAGAGTACAATTTCTTTGGAAGGAGGAGAGGAAAAAAAGCGAGAGCATGAAACGTTAATCGAGGGTGACAGGCCCGTTATCCCCTTCGGGATGAAGAACTATCTAAACTCAGAGGCTGGCCTCTTCTCATCAGCTTTATTTCTTTTGTCCCAATCTAAATATTTCTTTTCTGTCCTTTTTTCTTTTTTTTTTGTACCCCCCTCCTCTCCGTCAGCTCTGTCTCTCTCCCGTTCGCTCGCCTCTCCCTCCTCTCTCTGCTCTGTTTTTCTCTACCCATTTGGCCACTGAACTGTTTTCAGAGAGTGAGGTCAGAATGAGATAGAGCAGGAGGGCCTGTGTCTGTTTCTGTGTGCTAGCGAGACACATTCAGATTAATACTGAGAAACAACCTTTTATGGACTTGTACAGCAGCATGACTCCTGGTGAGTAGCGATGGAAACTTTAGTGCCTGAATGTTTTAACTGAGTGTTTTTCCCTCTCCTGATGCTATGGAGAACAAGATTTTCTCAACTTAAATCTTCCCGCATATAAGAGACCTTTCTTTCTCACAAAATATGGTTTTGTGAACTAGTTTGATATGAGAACGTGTTTCAGTAGTGTAATTTGTTAACCTTAATTGATCACTAGCTTTTCCTGAAATCTTCTTCTGAATGTTTTCTGCAGTGAAGAGGTGGCCAGACATGGCTTTACAGTCATTGTGGACATGCGCGGTTCTAAGTGGGACAGCATCAAACCACTGCTAAAGATCCTGCAAGAATCTTTTCCTTCTTGCATCCACGTTGCCCTCATCATAAAACCAGACAACTTCTGGCAAAAGCAGAGGACCAATTTTGGCAGCTCCAAGTTCGAATTTGAGGTGGGTAATGCTCAGTTTCTCGTTTTTAAATGATTTTTAAAAGGATTAAGACCACTGATCATTTTGTGAAATACATATGCTGCTTTGGTATTCTGTGCATTCTAGTCCATGTTGTGTCTAAATGTTCATTACATTAAAATACTGTATTTTCAAATTTATGCTTTTTTCATTTCCTGCTGGTTTCGCATAGCTGTCAGCCTCACTTTCCTAGCCTAAATTGGACTGCTGTTCTATGACAGTGGCACTATTCTGTCCCATGTGGGATTGTGTTGCTGGTATATTTAGTTCTGACCCAGTTACTATGGAAACTGGAAATATAGGACATGGCAAAGAATTTCAACTTAACAGAATTAAGTTGGAAGTTACTTTTTAAAATGATTTGCACCATGTTCTGTCTGAGGTGCACACAGTGACAGTCAGAACATAGTTTGAGTCTTTTAGATTGGCTGTAAGGTTTTTAGACCGGGGAAGCGGTCATGCTCTGTTGTCCTCGTCCACAAATCCTATCATAACTGCCCGTCTTTACAGAAGTACAAGATCATATTTTCACAGCAAACAACTCCTTGCTGCTAATGTAAACCTTTCCTACTTCACCAGCTTAGGTTCAGCTTACATGTACCTGACACGGAACTATCTACACATTGGAAAACACTTTCTTTCTTGAATTACAAAGAATGAATTACCTTATGATATGTGTTTAGACTCAAACATGTTCATGAGCTCCGTTAGGCCCGTCTCTACTCTTACCTAAAATCTGGCCCTCTTTTTTTATGGTTTTTCATCTGTCTACCTTTCCCTATCAAGCTCACCTTTCTGTTTTTGTATCTTAACAGTTTATATTCCCATGCCTCCATCTTATTAATGATAACATGAAAGTTTTGTTACCACACCTATCTAAACAGTTGATATATGAAACTGCTGATTCTTCACATTCTTTTCATAATCTTAGTTTAATGATGGGAAACCTTGTGAAAAGGTGGCATTTGAATAGGCGGAGTATGGTCTTAAAGATGAGTCATTTTGTTTCCTGCTAATTCTGTATTGAACCACTCATTGTCCTCTCCTAACCTTTTCATTTCCATTGTTCCTTTCTCTTTTGAATATCTCTTATGTTTCCATTTGGCTCACACACACACCTGCCTGCTCCAGACGGTGATGGTCTCCTTAGAGGGTTTGACCAAGATTGTGGATCCATCCCAGCTGACGGCCGACTTCGAAGGCAGCTTGGAGTACAACCATGATGACTGGATTGAGGTTCTAAACCTTTCTCTTTTTTCCTCACGGATGTTATTTCCTGCATAGTTCTCCAGCTTAGATCTGTTTCATTTGTTTAGAAAATAACACCCCAAGACATTATGAGTAGCCTCTATCGTAGTCTGACATGTAGTGGTATTAGGGGAAAGTCCCGTTTGGAAAGTGTTGTTCAGTTTGAGCTTTTCTTCCAGGTGCGACTGTCATTTGAGACCTTTGCCAGTGATGCAGCGCGGGCTTTGGCACGCCTGGAAGAGCTCCAGGAAACCTTGTCCCAGCGTGATCTCCCCCGGGACCTGGAGGGGGCCCGGCGCCTCATGGAAGAGCATGCTGCTTTGAAGAAAAGGGCCACAAAAGCATCCATAGAGGAGCTGGACACTCAGGGCCGAAGGCTGCTGCAGAGACTCCAGTCCCAGACAGCAGGGGGGGGAAGCAGTGTGGAGAGTGGCTACAGTAACCGTGGCGGTGGAGCCAGTGGAGACTCTAACGACCATCACCATGGTCACCACGCACATGCTGACGCACACAATTTAGTGGCAAAAGTGTCCGCTTTGTTAGATAAGCTGCACGGGACCCGGCAGAATCTGCAGCAGCTGTGGCACATGAGGAAGCTGAAACTGGACCAGTGTTTCCAGCTGCGCCTGTTTGAACAGGATGCTGAGAAGGTCAGTGTGCTTTTCTCTCCTGTTCCACATGTGCTTCACACCGGCTACAATTTGTTTTAGGAAAAAAAGAGTCCAAATTAGCTGGATCCTACAGTTGCCTATAGTGTAGATGTCACCATGATGCAAGCCTTTGATAAATTGTGTTGATCCGAAATTATAATTGAATACGATTTATAAGGAATTTAGTCTTCAGATCTAACAGCTCTGCCTATAAAATGTCATTTAATTTGATCAAATGAATCGGTGACTCATCCCTATATTTTAAAACTGTCAGACATGCCGTCACTTACATTATTAAACTGCTATGATGTTGGATTGTTGAAAGGTTTTTCATACCTTTATTATCACCGCTGAGAGCGCAAGATGGACAGCTTGTTCTTTCAAACTGTTTTTTGCCAAACCTGCTTCATTCCTTCCTCTTTTCTGATGCCTAGATGTTTGATTGGATCATGCACAACAAGGGACTTTTCCTCACCAGTTACACAGAGATTGGAGGAAACCACCAGCATGCAGTTGAGCTGCAGACGCAGCACAACCACTTTGCTATGAACTGCATGGTAAGACACACAGTCCTTCTCTCTGCCGTGCTCCGACGCATAAAAACACCAGGGCTGTTATTCACTGCAGGAATAAGAGGCAACTCATCTTTGTGCAACCACAGAAACCTTCTAGAAATTGATAAACTCTGTCCTACCTTAACCTTTTTTCCAATATTCTGCTCTTTTTTATTTATTCATTCGTCTATTCATTTATCTTTTTTTTTCTCTCAAATTGAACGCAGTCCCATTCTGGCATGTATTTTATAGGGAGCTATTCCCATAACAGAACATTTCCTGTCACTTTCTTGTTTTGTCTCTTTTGTATTTAATAGCTGTAGGAATCTTCAGCTAGTCATTCAGCTGTTAACCTTGTTAACTTAGTAGTTAAACTAACCAGTACAAGACCACCCTTCCAAAGTTTCTTTGGAAGGAAACTGCATTAGTGGTAAATTAAACATCCTGACTGGAACAGAACCCCCTTGTAGCCATAGTTATGAAGGATCAAATACGTTGCTGTTTGAAGACATTTGTAACATTTAAAGTACAAGAGTCCAGTTGTACCTCCAGCAGAACTCACTTCCACTTGTGTTGGGACAAACCACTGGTGGAACAGTGGCAGAAACCACTAATGGAACTGTCGTGTATGTATTTCCACACTGTGCATACACACACAGGCGCATGCACTTGAAGTCCGAGTGACCACCGCCCCCTCCACCCATTCCTCCACAGGAAGCTGAGTTTCCCCTTCCTGTTGCCTGGGCTGCTGGATGGAAATACACACTGTTGGTTTTTGATTTTGAAAGGCCGCCTGTTATGTCCTCTTATTTTGGATTTGTTCTCCATCATGTGCGAGCATTTTAATGAGAGGAAAAACAAAGGGAGTCACTTCCCCCAAACTTCAAATGCAGTGAGTTAGTTCAGTTAACCAACAATATTTTACTCATATTAAAGCACTTACTGAGATGACCTCTGCTAGAATTTTCCATTCTGAACCAGTCCGTCTGTTAAGCCCCATCCTATGTTATTGTTGTAGTACAGGGATATTTTAAATCCCCAACTACATCAAGTGTATTCTGTATTCTGGTGATGGTAAACAGAGCTGTGTATGATAAATATAATTTTCTCCCTAAATTCTCACAAAATCCTAACATTGAACTCTTTAATCCTTTCCCTCAAATGCTGTTTGATGAGCAGGAAGACAAAATAGAGACAGAGTTAAAATGCTCTGATTGGGAACTAAAAAATAAAAACAGTTAAAAAGTACCTCATACGGCATTTCAGCATGATACAAGTTTACATAAAGTGTTAAAAAGCAGAAGTAAACGCCAGACAGTAAGCTCTTAGTTTAACACAAGAATATCATCACTGATTTACAGGCTTAGCAAATGGTTTTACATTTAGAAAATATTGCGTATATTCATTTAAATATATACATCATGATGATAATTTCTCATGTCCGGCAGACTAACATGTGCAGATCCAGTAGTATGGATTGAAGCAGGATCCACCATGCATGCTGCTGTAATACAGGAAGAATGACCCGTTTCTGATGTGCTCCTGTCGGGGGGAAGATGCTATTAGTTTAGATTATACCACTTCTGGTCCTAAATATTTTTCATATTTACATATTTGTGTTTGGAATAAAACAAGCTATCTTTACCTCAAACACATGGTCGTTGACGATGAACAATTCTTTGCCAGTTTGACAGCCAGGGTATTCAGTGCTGGAGATTCGGTAGATTGGCCGAGGCACGTTTCTCAAGGTCTCTTAAATAATAGTAGTACATTATATATGCCTTTTGTAAACAATAAGGATTTGTACTGATTTTTGTCACTTTACTATGTTTAAACAATCATTCGTCGACAACTTACCGACTTCTTTGTTCAGCCGATCCTTTTCTTTACGCAGTGAGTCTATTTTATCAGCAACTTTCATGTCTTTGTCAGCGATTCTGTAGTCTGATTATGGAGGAGAACGGTGGGTGAGCCTTCACCGCTTCACATCTCTTTACTACATACTTTGTTAGCTTTTTAGCAAAAATAAACAGAAATTTACTCACAAGCAAAGCTCAGGGCAATCAGGGCTGCAATCAACAGGACACACAGCACCAGCAGCCCGGGTGTAGCATAGAAGGAGAGCACTAAACAGAAGATGATGATGTCACAGTCAGCAGCACTTGTGCATGCGTGATGATATTTTGAACAGAAGTACCATACCTGACTGTTTTGTTTTGCCCGTTCCTCTCTTTAAACCCAGCTCAGGTCGTCTGATAGTCAAGTACCTGTTGGGTAGAGGAAGAGGGAGCTGTGGAGCGTTGGTGGTTGTTTGTGTGGCATCTCTCCCTCTTTTTTTTGCGCCATCTCTCCCTTTTGAACCAGAGCCTTGTTCCTGTGCTCTTGAATCCCCTTGTTGTCCCACACCAAGGCCAAGTGTGTCTCCATTTTCATAAGTATCATCATGATCAATCCACTGGTCAGCATCCATTGTCATGTATTCATTATCAGGGCTCTCAGCTGCTTCGGGGCCTTCCATTGTTGAACCGCCTGAGTATCTGGAACTGAGGTTATGTTGTGTTTACCTGAAGGACTTTACACTTGGGTGCTGATGCAATTGACGTTAGTGGGAGGTACCAGTGTGAACCAAATTCATTGGAAGAACCAGACAGACCTGAGCAGTCTGGAATTAGCTAAAAGAAAAAGCAGGCATGCTAAATATACACAAATCCAAACTGCCCATGTCAGATCTCAAGATCTTGACAGTGGAGAGAGAAGAATGACTAAAACAATGGCTCATCCCTGAGGGTGCGAGGATGATTTGCCTGTAGTTTGTGTACAAAAAGATAGTTTTTACAGATTAGCAATAGTTCCAGGGAAGTCAGGAAAACTAGATGCTGAATAATTGCGACCCATAACATGTACATTGTTGTGTAGTTTATTTTATTTACCAGAAGACTGATCAAGAAAAAAGCATGACACTTTGGTTGTGTTTTTTCTTTCAAATTCTGCTAATGTATTAGCGCTTCATGTGTTAGTAGGTGGATTCCCAGTGGCCATCAAAGGTTTACAGGGGAAATCCAGCTTGTGTGTCAGCAGAAGCTAATTGTTTTTTTGTTTTGTTTTTTGTCATGAGAGCTCTGAGGTTGACATAGTAATCTTAATTCCAGTGGGATGGCGTCCAGGTCTCCTTTTCCCTACTTAATCTAGTTGTGTCTGTTTTCACTTTGCCACTCATTCTCTTGTCCCATGTCAGCATAAGGTTTAAATCAGGAAAACCATTTTTCTATCTCTGCCCAGCCCCCCCTCCCTCCTTCCTTACATGCATCCGTTTTGGATTAAGCCTTTACCGCGCAGTGTGTTTGTATAGTCCAGGCCCCACTCCTTACCACCTCATTCCCCTCCCCCCCATGCATGTGTGCATGTGCTCATGGAGCTGTGTATGTTGAAAGTGTTAGATTGTCCATTCCAGAATGACATTTTTGTCCAAAGGTTTAGATCTACAGAAATACTCCTTCAGCTGTTTCATTTGATGCGTGCCTTTGTAAAACTTTCCTAATAGGATAGAAACTGTATACTTTGCCCTGATGTTCTTTTCATCTACTATTGCAAAAGAAATTCAACTCCATTGATTCCACATGTGAGCCACACATGAACTCTGTCTCTGATATTCTTCAGCAAATTGTCAAGAGCTTGATTCAGAGCTTTTGATTGTTGACTTTGGACAGTGGAGTATGCCTGCTGCAACACAAATGGAGGCAAAGCTATTCGCAGTTTAGTGTAAACCCTTGTCAAAAAGTGTGGGACAATCTCAAAGCCTTGTAAGTCAAACAAAGTGCATTACAGAAGCAGCATGTGCAGGAGCCATAATGTGTTTGAGGAGCAGTAATTGAATTGAATAATAACTGGCCGTTAACACAGTTGTTAATTAGCGCTTGCTGATCTGTGCCTATCTGCCCAAAACAGCTTGAAGAATGTAAATTTGAAAAAAGACTGAAAGATTAAGAGGTAATTTGTTTTTTTTTAGTAGTCACATGGGGTGGGCTTCCCAAAAGAAGGACCTCTGAATGTTCTCAGGGCAGTGTGTGTGTAGGAATGTGTATGTGTTTACTTGTAGTCTGTCTAAATTGAGTTAACGTCTTCAGGCTCCTGTGGCTACCGCTTTTCAAAAACAGTTTAATTCTTTTGACAGTAGTTGAGCTTTTTCCTCTCCAGGATGAGATGGCAGCTTCACTCATCAGGGTTCACAAACTGAGACTACTTCAGGAATTTGCCCAGGGGACTGTTGATTTATCTGGACACGATGCATTATTGATAAAAAATAACCTTTGGTGTCTTCTTTACCCCTTTAACAAAGAATGTGTACGTGAACATCAATCGGATCATGTCGGTTGGAAATCGGCTGCTGGAGTCGGGCCACTACGCCTCCCAGCAGATCCAGCAGATCTCAGGCCAGCTGGAGCAAGAGTGGAAAGCCTTTGCTGCGGCGCTGGATGAACGCAGCACATTGTTGGAGATGTCTGCCAGCTTTCACCAGAAAGCAGATCAGGTACAGACACAAACACTGCTGGACACAGAAAACCTATCCGATTAAGTTAGGTGTCCTTAGAGCTGGAACACTAGTCACAAACATTCTGAATAAATGCCAGACTTTCTTTAATTGTTTATTCCACCCTGCACACATGACGCTATATTTGAAGAACCTTTAACTTTGCTTGATGATGGGGACGTTTTTATATTACACTGATCACAAATAGTCTTCTTTTTTTAGAGCAGTGCCCATTTTGTTTATTTAGACTTTCTTCCAATACAAGGCAAAGCCGACAGGGAACTCCAACATATTTTGTCATGTTACAAACTTGAATTGATGTCATGAAGGAGTCTGTTAAACTATATCCCTTATTTTGGTCATGTTTCCTCCTGAGCTGTTACATCCTCAGATAGCTGATTTTGGCCTTAAAGAACCCTTGTTTTACAAACCAATTAAATAAAAATAAAAAAGCTAATTACATGCTAAATCAATATATCCTTTTCCCCTTTTTCCTCCAATCTGCCAATCTGAGTAAATGAGTTTCAAATGATTTTTAACATATCCAGAATTTTCAGTTGTAGAATAAATTTGGGATTAGCCAAACATGTGACTTGATTGAACAGCCTCCAAAAGTTATGATTTCATGTGTTTAGCCGTGGCTGTACACATCAATAGTTGGCCCAGAACTGAATTAATCTCAGGGAATTTTGTGTAGAAGTCTTTAAAGATTAAGTATACACAGTGGCAAAGATGCCTCCAAGAACACTTCAAAAGTTACTACCTCACAGTGAGGAGTTGAATGTGAATGCTCCTCCCCAGACAAAAGGAACATCCAAAGCTGCTCCCCTCAAGTGCAAATACAAGGTTGTAATTTAATAAATGTCCCCAATAGATCCATATAATTTTTGTTGGAGATGGATACGTCTGTCTAAAATTTTGTTTCCATATATATATATATTGTAAGGATGTGTTTAATGCAGTGCTTGTGTGGTCCATTCTCTCCATAGTACATGAGTAAAGTGGAGCCGTGGTGTAAAGCATGTGGCGAAGGGGAGCTGCCCTCTGAACTGCAGGATCTGGAAGATACAATCCACCATCACCAGGGATTATATGAACACATCACCACAGCTTACTCAGAGGTCAGATCACAAACTACGCAAAAAATGCACGGATAGTTTCCCCCAGCTTTTAAGAATGCAAATTAGGTTTGCTGATAATCCAAATCATGCTTTCATAATGTAGTCTTGTGAACATGTGCCATGTAAACTCTTGAACCGCTATTTATGTTGGGGTTGCATTTAATTGCATAATTTGAAAAACAAATTACGAAATAGACAAAACTCAACTGAAGAAGTTTGATTGAATGCAGAAAATAAGTTCATTCATTTTTCAAAATAGCTAAAAAGAAACTTAACCAAATGATCCTGTCTGATCTTTTTGGTTACGTGATACGAATCTTCACAGGTAAGCCAGGATGGAAAGTCCTTATTGGACAAATTACAGCGACCTTTGACCCCAGGAAGTGCCGACTCACTGATGACATCGGCTAACTACTCCAAGGCTGTGCACCATGTGCTGGACATCATCCATGAGGTGCTGCATCACCAGAGGCAACTGGAGAACATCTGGCAGCATCGCAAAGTCCGACTGCACCAACGCCTGCAGCTGTGTGTCTTCCAGCAGGACGTTCAGCAAGTAAGAGAGCCCGGAGACAAACACAAAGAAATGCCACTGAAATTAGACAGTTAGCTTCCTTCTAATCTTTCAGGAATGCTCTTTGTATTTGGCTAATTGATTTGCTGCTGTAATGCATAAAAAATATCTAGAAAGGATTATTCCATTCTCTTTCATTCAGAATGTAATAAGGACAATTCCATATTCCCAACGCATCTGATGCTCTGTAGCTTGTCAGCACTTTACAAGTCTAATGGAGGAAGCTCTCAAAGCATTGTGTCAGCCTATCCTCTCAGTAGATATAAATCAGGGAACTTTTTAATGCCAACATCAGACAAAGCAAACACACTACAGGTCTTGTTTGATGTTGTCTCATTAGGTGCTCATGTTAATAATGATGCAAGAAATCTCTGCAAGGTATGATATGATGGGAATACAATGATCCTCTCCAACTCATTCAAGGCCTGTTTCCACCTCCTCAAGTGAGAGCCTCCAGTTTCTGCATGACTGTGTGGATGGCACCACTCCTAGATCAAAATCAGTGATTTGGTTTAGAGTGTCATCTCTGCATCTGCTCCCTTGGGGCATGAGCGCCTCTCTGCCCTCTTCCTCATCTCCTGCTTCCTTTCACTGTCTCTTGCTGTATCTTTGTGCCTCTGTCTTTCCCCACTCCCCTCCACTCTTTCATCACCCTTCTCTCTTGGTAGTGGTTGTCATGGTGATGCAATTTACTGTCACATAAAGTGTTAAGGGCATTGTGCCGGGGTTGTCGTGTGTTTGTCCCATGGAAATATGCTCTCAGAGACCTTGAAAATCCCTTTCACTTCCCTGCATAGAAAAAGGTGGAGTGCACCTATCTGTTTGATGGATCACAGGATATATATATTTATATAAAGTAAGAAGTCATCTAGCTTCTCACACCCAAATGGGGAATGTTTACACAGTGCTCTGCCTTTGATTAACCTCTTATTTTTTAGTTTAGACCTTAAATACTGCATGTAGAGCAGAAAGATGATAAAACAGCAAGAATTTGCGAGATTACAGATTTTTGCTTCGATGGTCCCAGTTCTGTGATTCAATAAAGCCATTCAAAACAATTGCACCCCCTACTGCCTGAAAAGTTGAATTGCATCATATTCTGTGTTTGTGTGTGTGTTTCAAGGTGCTGGACTGGATAGAAAACCATGGCGAGGCCTTTCTGAGTAAGCATACTGGTGTTGGGAAGTCTTTGCACAGAGCAAGAGCTCTCCAAAAGAGACATGAAGACTTTGAAGAGGTTGCACAGGTAGCATTGCATTCTGCATTGTTTAAAATCACCAAAAATCTTTGTGTTCTCATATGCTCCATCCATAAGGCAAATGTTTTATATGAGAAAATATGTTATTTCAATAGATCTAAAGTCATCGTATGAATTGTTAGGTAAGTGCTAATGAAGTGCAGGAGATGCTGAAAGTTTCCACTAAATATGTGCAACGTTTACATTTCAGAACACCTACACCAATGCTGACAAGCTGCTAGAGGCAGCAGAGCAGTTGGCCCAAACCGGAGAATGTGACCCAGAGGAAATCTACCAGGCTGCCCACCAGCTTGAAGATCGCATCCAGGACTTTGTGAGACGTGTCGAGCAACGTAAAGTCCTTCTGGACATGTCTGTTGCCTTTCACACGCATGTCAAAGAGGTACGTGCCTCTATCCCCTTCTGTCTTTCAAACTTTGACCGGTTCAGTACGCTCAGTCATCTTCCATCTGAAAGCAAAAAGAAAAAGACTAATAGTAAATACAAACATATGAAACCCTTTGCCTTGTCTTTTAGTGCCACATTTTTATGGATAGTGTTTCAGGGAAACCAGTGGCATCTTACTAATGACTCTGGGGGAACAACCAGTGCTTCAGATCTTTTATCCATAAACCAGTTGTGGGAACCCTTGCTAAAGCCTACTCTTCCATCATGTGATCAATTTTTCAATGTATTTCAATAAGTAGTTAAGCAGATATTGTATTTGTGTCCACGAACCTCTGCATTCCTTTGCCTGTTTAAACGTATGCTTGCAATCTAACTTCACCCACCTTCTTTATAACTTTCATTATGAAAAGCCTGCCTTTTTTTTCATTCTGTAATCCACCGTATTCCTCAGGGGAATACTGAAGGTTCTGCAAAGATGTGGTGTTAATCACTGTTCTGCTTCCTTAAGGTTAAATACATTTCGAGGTGATGTATTTCACATCTTAGAACCTTTTAATCTTTCCAGACTGACAAAAAATGTGCTCACACTTTGTTCTGAGTACGTAGCCTCATGGAGAAAGCCAGACGCATGGCGTTCTTACTGAACTAAGACTGTTCATTCTTTATACAGACTCATCTCACCTTAACTGTGTGCTAAATGTAGTTGCTGCCCACAGTTAAAAGACAAATGGTTTCCCGGTTGAGACCAGAAAATAGGAGGATATTCATTAAAACAATGAATATCCATATATTTCCAGGTTATGTGCTGGATATTATAGAAATAAAACAGTATCAGGAGGGTATTTGGCCCAGTGTACGCAGCCTTGGTTTAACATAGCAGTGGTTGCCAGAGTCGCTCTCCTGCATCCTGAGTCCTGGGCCAGGACTTCAGTACGCTGAGCCAGCTCATCCAGATGGCTAATCTGTGACAAAGATGACCATTCACAAAACACCAGCTTGGAGCAGAACTGGCTGAATCTGATTTCTGTCTCTCAGTCTTGTCGTTGTCCGTTTTACAGCTTGTAGAGTGACTTTTACATGTGTTTAGCCCCCACAGCTCTGTGGATCAGCCCCTCTCCCGTTTTTTTTAATCTTGCATTGCTATCTTATTACCAGCATGGCTGTTGAGTACTCAAAATTTTTTCCTTTTTTTTACTTAGTCACTTGGAGGTGTAATTTCATTTTAACAAGTTTTGTGATTTTTTATATGTCACTGCTAGCTGTGGACATGGTTGGAGGAACTTCAGAAAGAACTGCTGGATGATGTGTATGCAGAGTCTGTTGAAGCTGTGCAAGATCTTATTAAGCGATTTGGTCAGCAGCAGCAAACCACCCTGCAGGCAACTGTCAATGTTATCAAGGAAGGAGAGGACCTCATACAACAGCTCAGGTGATTAAGCTTTCTAGATATACAAGTGAGGAGCGGAACTCCCAAAGCAATGGAGGTGAAGCCCTATTTTCAGGAATATATCTGTGACTGTTGGCGTAATCTTTGGGCACATGTACACTCTTCCACATCTTGGGTATTTGTCTTCTATACAGAGACTCTGCCATCTCAAGTAACAAGACCCCTCACAACAGCTCCATGGCTCACATCGAGAGCGTGCTGCAGCAGCTGGATGAAGCACAGGGCCAGATGGAGGAGCTTTTCCAGGAAAGGAAGATCAAACTGGAGCTTTTCCTTCAGCTCCGCATCTTCGAGAGGGACGCCATAGACGTGAGTGATCGGGGAAACCGTTTTTGGGGTTTCTGTTATTGTTCCGCAAAATGGTGCAACAGAGAAGGTGTCATCTTTTAGTGCAAAGACATGAGAGATTAGTTCTCTTACCCGGTGCAGGCTGACTGGGATGTGTAGTGGAGGAAAGGAAAAACAAAACTGATTTAAAAAGAAATCTTGGAATCTATGGATGCTTGGAGGTGAAAAGAAAATGGACGTAAATGATATAGGTAGAGGTAAATGATAAATAAATGACAGTGGAATGATGCAATGAATATGCCCAGCCAGCCACTTTCTTTTTCTCATTGATTGTTTAAAGTTTTCCCTAAAAAAACAGTAACAAGTGAAAAGGACTATCAAAGGGAGTGAGAGGTGATAGACAATTTAACTATAAAATCAAAATTCAATCCTAACAGCAAGTGTTCCTGCTGTTTTAAAGCCTGGGCTAAATTCACAGCATTGCTCTCACACTGGCAACTTAAAAAAAAGCATTCAGTTTTGCTTGATGCAACTCATCTACTTACTCATCCCACTTTTTTACCCGTCTCAAACCAGCAGTTTGATCTGTTGTATGCTCTCATTCCCCACTGTTTGAGTTCATGCTTTACGGCTCTTTTTAAACGTCCTTTAACATGTCTTATGATGTTTTGTCATACTTATCCAGTCCTCACAGAAGGTCCTTAAAAGATGTGCGTTCTAAAAGGTTGGTGTGGAGCATTAGTGGGCTGTATTGTCCAATGTGTTTGCCCCATGTGCTCACAGAAGTTGTGAGGTTGATTTCAAGGATGCCCGTAAGGTCATGGAAATGTGGTGAATCTACTAATCACATGCTGAATAGCTAAATGGCCTGCGCACCCACACACACAGACACAGGATTTAAATGACACAGAGCTTGAGTATGAAAATGGGTGGAGTAGGCTTTTTTTCTCCTCCGATCCCAGCTCCCACATTTACTCAAACATGCACTTGCAATATGACACTCCCTCCCAGCTTTACCATGGAGGCACGTTGTGTAAGGTGAGGGCCTGAGTGGCAACGAGACATACCTTCATATTTCAGCGCTTTGATAATACGCTCTGTATCGCTTCACACAACCAAGAAAAAATTAGACAAAGTGGAGCCGTACAGAATCTACTCCTGGATAGCTTTCTTAGGACGGAGATGGTCTTTTTGCACACAAAAGGTGTTTTACTCAACTGCAAGAGAAGAAGACAGCAGAGTTCAGATGAATGCTTGGTAAGTTTGTCTAACCTTGTTGCAAGATTTAGAAAAATTATAGTTTGAGCAAAACGTTTCATGTGAATTTTATGGTGCAAAAGTGACATTAAAAAAAGAAAATCGAAAATTCTTCAAGCTCCTTGACATATCGCAAGCAAAGTGTCCAATGAATTGAGCACCTTTCAGTAAAAAAAAAATGAAAAAAAGAGAGTGATGGAATCCTTATGTCCTGTAAGTTTAAATGCAAGAGGCCTTTTTGTTTAATGTTAGATTCCTTTGTCATTCAGTAATCATCTGGTTCTGGAGAGGGTTAAACTAATCTTTGTTTGAAATATTTTCCTTTTTCCAGTCATATTGGTGTTTGAAATAATCACAAGGGCGGCAACTATAGTTGGCCCTGTGGTATTCAGAGAAACACCTGTGTGATACTCTAACAATGAGATGGATTTGCTGGCAACACTCACCTGATTTCCCAGGGCCCAGATGTCTTTCAGGACTTACAATGGATAGAAAACCCCTCTGTTAGAGACTATGATGGAGGTCTGTGGCCATTAGGAGTTGTTCCTGCAGCAGCTTTGTGTCTGCTGGTGTTTGGATGCCTGAAAATAATAACAGTGCTGATCCTTTGTACATTACATACTGCCCATCACAGTGCACAGTCTCTTCTTTCACTCTGAACCTAAATGATCCAAACTGACAGGATCATTTCTTTTTATGGGGAAAATCCCAAGAGCTTAGACATGCTGTTGGCTGATAAGATCTGCATGTTGAGTTAAATGATAAATCTAACCTCCTTTGCTTCTTTGTTTTACCTAAGTCACATATGGTTACCAGCATACAAGTACGAAAATGTCCCCTTTCTTTATGGCTGTTCATTCTTTTCATTTTTATTCATGCTTAGAAATCTTACTAGACACTAAATGGCATTTCCAGAACTGAGGGGAGCAGCTGCCAAAGGATCTTATTCACCTATACAGATTGAATTTCATTGCCATTAGAAGATACTTCATCGCATATTGGTTTAGTTCAGACATATTTTTTATTCCCAAGGCGCCGTTACCCAATGGTTGTTTCATTGATAGTTTTTGAGCACATGTTTATGGGGTTGCAGAACAGCTGAGAAGAGACAGTCGGCTCAAATCTATGCAGAGACTTCCTACTTGTTCAGCAGAGCAGCTGAGGGCACGAGGGTCGATATTTGATCCATTTATTTTGTGTTCAAGTATCACATTTCAGCTACTGTTCTGTCACTCTAAAAGGTATAAATTTCACATAAACCACATAAAATATTTTAAGAGGATGTTGTGTTCTAAACCTATGATGGATTAAATTGCCACCAAGTAGTTGCAGACAAAACTTACTTGTTTCAAGCAAAAACACGTGATAGGCATAAGTCAATGGGGCCTCCAGTGAAATGATTCCGTCAACATGGGCAGTGAGAGACAAGCACTGCTCTAGCAGTCATGCATTACCAATATGATATGGTATTCATTATCGTGTCAGCTGGAGTGTAGGCTGTCAGAGTTCCTATTTATGTATTACACTCTCTAAAGCAGCCTTGTATGTGCACTGAAGTCATGAAGTTTGTATTTCATGAAGTTTGTGGTCTTTTGTTGGAGTCTGTTCAAAGCTAATTCTGTCAAGCTCAGAAAATGTATTTGTCAGTAGAGGTGAATTAGCTGCACATTATTCTGCACTTCACGTCACAGGAGATGATGAAAAGCTTCAATAGGATCAATTCAAATTTGGATCTATATTGCAGTTTGCCATCTGAAGTCTTTTTCTCTTATTCTCTCTACCTTCCACCTGGCTCCTCAGATCATCTCGGACCTGGAGTCATGGAATGAGGAGTTGTCCCAGCAGATGAACGATTTTGACACAGAAGATCTGACCCTGGCTGAGCAGAGGCTTCAACATCATGCAGACAAAGCACTCACCATGAACAACCTCACCTTTGATGTAATCCACCAGGGACAGGAGCTGCTGCAGTATGTCACAGAGGTCCAGGCGTCCGGTGAGTGAACTCATGGAAATACCCATTAAATACAGTCATCTTAAATATGGTCACAGTCTATATGGAAACTTCAGAGTAATCACTGGTATTATTCTTAAAATGAAGATTTTAAGTGTAAGTACATGAACTGTAGTCCTTGTATTATCCATCCATGGGTGCATGTGTCAGTGTTGGTTCTGTTGCACAGATTTAAACCACTTTTAAACGATTGGTTACTCTACTTTACAATTTTATGAATAGTTTGAAGGAAGAAAGACAAATGAACCAAGAAGTTCTATATTCTTGTTTGGATCACACGGACATGTCTCCTTTTCGCAGGTGTGGAGCTGTTATGTGACAGAGACGTTGACATGTCCACTCGGGTTCAGGACCTGCTGGAGTTTCTTCATGAGAAGCAGCAGGAGTTGGACTTGGCTGCAGAGCAGCACAGGAGACACTTGGAGCAGTGTGTCCAACTAAGGCATCTACAAGCTGAAGTTAAACAGGTGTGCACATAAACAAGGAAATTACATAAGGTTGTGATTGGATAAGGAGGGTGAACACAATCCTAAAGCAGATTTGATTGATCTGATGGTCTTTTCCTCTGACTGAGGCCAGGCTGATGAATGGAAAGATGCTGTGACTACAGCAATTGCTACACCATACCACGGTGTTACTGGTAAAAGTGTGTGTGGTACAAGGCAGCAGTGGGCTCTGCCTGTACATGACATTGGATTGATGATTCGGTCTGTGTCGAGAGTCTGTCTCCCTCTGAGTTTTTCTCTTTCTATTTCTCTGTGTTCACTTGTCTGCCTTTAGTCTTTGTAAGTTCAGCCAAAACTGTACAGAAGCACTTCTATGTTTAAGCTGTTGCTTGAGTAGATTCAGTTGCTGCAAAGGAGGTTTAGACATGATTGAGAAGAAACATTCTGATTTCGATATGTTAGTTTTTGTTTTTTTTAATCAACGTGAGGATTGAGGAAGTGACCATGCAAGGGAAGATAAGCACGGCGACTCCCAAAACACTAAAATGATTTACAGATATTGAAGTGAATTGTGAATCTTTTCAACAGAAAAATCGAGTCTGTCTTTGCTTGCTGATGATGATCTTTATGCATCTACTTCCTAAATGGATCGATTTCATAGCGGGCATTCATGCTGTAATGGATGCATCAGAGGCAACCATGGGTTCGGTGTCCACCCGACTAGCTCCCAGTCAGAATATTTATGAACATAGACTGTAATACTCTCTGATCTCCACCTGAAAGTAGCTGCACTGGTGGGATTGAAGTGGGTGCAGCCACCATCTGGCAGTTATGGCCTCTGATTTTATGCTGCTGATTTGTTCGTTACACACACTATGGCTATCAGTCCTGGCTTATGATTGTCACGCTGCTATTTTCGCCACTGTGGGTGTGTTTGTGTTTAGTCAAAGCTGGCTACTTGCTAAAAGTGCTGCAGTTATGAGATGGTGAAGCTTTAGAACAAAGAGAAATCATAAAACAAAGATTCAAGTATTGTGGTATTTGGGTAAAATATAGCGGTTTGCTATTCTGGAAGGAGGGATCACATATTGTGTGCATGATTGTTGTTATTTTTTCATCTTTTTATCACAGGGATCTATTTTCTGCTGTGCATTGAAGTGATAAAAGGGGTAGATAAAACGTATCTCCGGTAAGATAGAGTTGATAAGTGCATACCTGTCCCACCTCAGGACATTGCCGGTGCAACAGAAACTTTGGCCCTGTTGTAGCTTTCCAAAAGCATGAATCACTGTTGCGTTGCATCATCACTTTTAAAGCCAAGCTGTTCAGCCCGTCACCCACACAGCACAGCCATGAGCACATGTGACTTTTGAGTTCTTCTTGCAGTGTAAGTGTGTTAGTTAGGGCCTGTGGTACACTATATGAGGAGGTTACACACTAAAGAAATAAATGAAAGGTTAAGGATATAGCAGGGAGTTTGGGAAACTTGAGCACGGTGAAACAAGGGATTAAAAGAAGGAGGAGGCAAAAGGGAGGATTTGGTGTAAAAGCAGCAAGGCATAAAATGAAAGGGAAGATGTAGAGCTGTGTTTCTGCTTTAAGAAAATTATGAAATATGGACCAATAGATAAAAATAAGAACTGAATAATGATAATGATTTAACAAGAAAATAAACACTTCCTGTGTTGATTACAGGTTCTGGGTTGGATCCGAAATGGTGAGTCCATGCTGAACGCTGGCCTGATCACAGCTAGTTCATTACAAGAAGCCGAACAGCTGCAAAAAGAACACGAACAATTCCAGCACGCAATAGAGGTAAAAGGATATTTTCCTTTTTTTTTTCTCTCTGTTTTTTCCCCAAACCAAAGAACATAGAAAGCTCTGCGTTTATTTTCACATGCTTGTTGCATTCTGCTTTCTTTTTGTTTTCCCCTTTCAAACTTTTATGATCCATGAGTTGTTTCTTTGTTATTCTTTTTCATCAGGCTTGTCTTGCCGTGTCAGTTGGCATTCTTCATTTACCCTGCCCAGTGTTTTGCTTTTCCAAGGATTTTTGTCCTTCATCTTTCAACCTCTTGCCGCTCTAAAGCTCTTCAGCTTCTTATCTGTCTGCGCCTCCCCTCCTCATCACAAGTCACATGAAATGGAATTATGAATAACTGTTATCTCTGCCTCGTCCTTTCTTCCTCTCCCTGCTCACCTTTCATTTTTTTTTCTCTTTTGTATCTCTGCCACTGATTATTCAGGTTGCATTTCTTTGAACTCAATCTGGGCCGACTCATTTCAACGCATATACATATGTCACATAGGCAAACAGATTTATACTCCATGCACTTTTCACGTCCTTTTGGAATGTTTTTGTTTTTTTCCTGATTTCTGTGACGTCTGTAATGGGCCCTGTGTAAGAAGTACACCTTCCTTTTTGGAAAAATGGCACTGTACCCCTTATTTATCCTCACCTTCACCCCTTTTTCTCATCTTTTGAGGATCAAAAATGGTAAAAGCCTCACTCGGGGTAACCACCATCCTTTCGTCCCTCATCCTGTGAACTGAACATGAACCAACAATTGTGATGTGTACCTTGGCGTATTTCTCAAATCCATTATTGTATGGATATTTTTTCTTCATTTCTATATATTGTCTCTTGCAGAAAACCCATCAGAGTGCGCTGCAGGTACAGCAGAAAGCTGAGGCTCTTCTTCAGGCCAACCACTACGACATGGACATGATCCGGGACTGCGCAGAAAAGGTGCTGAACAGTTTTAGCTTGCCTCCCTGTAACATTAACATAGCAGTGGGTTTTTTCACAGCTGAGACTGGAAACATTACGAGGGTTTTTGTTCTTGTACTTGAAGGTGGCAGACCACTGGCAGCAGCTCATGCTGAAGATGGAGGACCGACTGAAGCTGGTTAATGCTTCTGTGGCCTTCTACAAAACATCTGAACAGGTACTGTGTGCGTGTGGGATAGAGAGGGAGAATGGGTGTGTCACACATGATCACAAACCTGAATGATTCTCATTCCTATCGAAATGACATTTTCCAATTTAAACATCAGCGTTAAAGTAAAGCTTAAACTACAGTATAAAGGCTTTGACAATTCTAGACTTTCAGCTGATTATAAAAAATTATTAAAAAACTAGCCGTTTTAACTAGATACACTTCTTTGTATTCACAAACTGTATGTATTTAAAGAAAAAACTCAATAAAAAGACAGTGATTAAAAAAAAAAAAAAACTAGCCGTAAAGATTCATTTGTCTTTTCCCCTTATTTATCTGTATTATTCTAAGCCCAACTTGTTGCTGAGCAAGAGTCCCATTTATTGGAACAAATAAAGGAGAATTACACTCTCTTTGAGAATTGTCCAAACTTCACACACAGCACAGCAAATACAGTATTTCATGTTTTCAATAACTGTAAACACAAACAAACAGTTGGTGGCGCTAATACTCCACTCATGGGGAAACTGACCTAGAAATTACTTGGGCAAGTGCTTGAAAAAAAGAGGAATGAATGCATTTGTATTAATGCATTAATGCAATAAATGACAATAATCAGCTCAAATGATAGTGCAGGTATGTACTTTTTGTAAAAGGCCAAGAGATAATTATAAGGTGTGCTGTTCTGTGGCAGGTGTGCAGTGTGTTGGAAAGCCTGGAGCAGGAGTACAAGAGAGAGGAGGACTGGTGTGGGGGTGCTGATAAACTGGGCCCAAACAGCGAGTCAGACCACGTCACACCGATGATCAGCAAACATTTAGAGCAGAAAGAAGCTTTCCTCAAGGTACCGAGGATCATTTTAAGCAAAAACATATGTATTCACCTGCTTGTTTTCTGCCCTCTGAGCAGGACTGAACCATTATCCCACTCACAGATATGTCTGTACTGGTCCCTCCTGCATTTCCACAGGCCTGTACATTAGCCAGACGCAATGCTGATGTTTTCTTGAAGTACCTGCACAGAAACAGTGTCAACATGCCTGGCATGATGTCCCATGTCAAGGCGCCGGAGACTCAGGTCAAGAGTAAGTAAAAATATTAACTCATCTCCATGTCTCATCATATCTGTATCTGTAAGTATATGCACTGAAGCTTGAATGTAGATGCGTGGCTGCTTCCGTTATGTAAATATACCGTGATAAACACTGTGAGTAAACAAAGTCCTTCTGTTGCTTCATCAGATATATTAAATGAGTTGCTGCAGAGAGAGAACAGAGTCCTCCACTTTTGGACCATGAGGAAGCGCCGGCTGGACCAGTGCCAGCAGTATGTGGTGTTTGAAAGAAGTGCCAAACAGGTGTGTGCTTTCGTAAATTCTGTGTGTCAGCATAAAATGATCAAATCACAGGCCACATTTACCTTTTACTAGAGCTACAACTTTCCGAATTGTATGGTATTATTTGGGGGGTTTAGGTTTTGGAAAGTTTGCTGGCCTTTAAAAGCAGCATCTCCATAAAGCTGGTCAGTAAATACTCCCGGTAGACGGATGTGCTGACTTCAGACTTTTTAACACAGTGCACCGACACCAGCAAATGGTTCAGCTCCTGAACACAGCACAGACGTTCACTCTGGACCTCCACATCAGTTGACAGTGTTGAATCTTTTCACAGTATTTAAATGTTTTGAAGCACAGAATTAAGTTTTTTTTGTGTTAATCAACCTTCAATGATATTCTAATGTACTGCGCTGCACCGGCCAGGATGCCTAAAACAACAGACACCTACCTCCCTCTTGTGGATTTTAGATGACACAGCATCTACACAGAAACCTTTGGTTGGCCTGTAAAACTCGATGACATCATACTTTTTTCTAGAACATAGCTATTCTAAGGCTTTCCAGGCTTTACCCCAAGGGCCTGCTGGTTATTGGTCTCTCTGTCTGCGTGGACCAGTTCTGCCATTGCTGGTCAGAGCCTCTGCACGTCCAGCTTTAAAGCAAATAGGCCGTGGAAAAGAATACCACAAAATGAGAAGTTCTAAAATGGAAAGATAAAGTGTCGGGAAAAAATGTAATACTGCTTTGCATCTCAAAGATACAGTTGGCATGTATCACAAAATCTACTTTTGTTAAGCTCATATATTCAGAGTGACAGGGCTGAAGTTGCTGCAGTCTCCTTGTACTCACTTGTGATTGGTTGGTTCCTCAGGCCCTGGAGTGGATCCATGACACTGGGGAGTTTTACCTGTCCACACACACATCCACCGGGTCTAGCATTCACCATACACAGGAGCTACTGAAAGAGCACGAAGATTTTCAGATCACAGCAAAGGTATGTTTGTGGATGTCTGTGTGTGCAGATTTCTGTATAAAGTTGAAAAAGAGGCCGAAGTGATGAAGCTTCTATGTGTGCCCCTCTGAACGTTGTTCTGCTACATGTGTTGTGTTTGCAGAGCCCTGCGCTCTGCTGTGGGGCCCGTTTTTAGGGCAGTTTATTGTTGTCTTTTCTCTTTGCTGTGTCACTGTTATTGTGTGTTCGAGGGCAAGCCATTGTGTCCATCAAGCAACACATGATTCCGAACTCTTTCTTTCTCTCATCAACCTTTTCTGTGCCGGCGCTGCCTCGGCCCCCGTCCCTCTCCGCTCTCTGCCCCCACCCTTGAATGTCTCTCTATTGACAGCAAACCAAAGAGCGAGTGAAGCTGTTGATCCAGCTGGCGGATGGGTTTTGTGACAAGGGCCACGCCCATGCACTGGAGATAAAGAAATGGGTGTCCTCAGTGGACAAACGCTACAGGGACTTCTCTCTCCGCATGGACAAATACCGAACCTGCTTGGAAACGGCACTTGGCATTTCTTCCGATTCAAACAAGGCTGTGAGTGCATGTTTCTACTAACTGCATTTAGATGCTTTATCCAAATACCTGGGGCATAAACCAGGCTTGTCTCTGAGTATTGTGCAGATTAATTTTTTTCTACATTGGTAACAGTTTCAAAAGGTAAAGATTTCCATCACTTGTTTGTGTTAACAAAAAATCCACTCCTGGACATGTCTCTTTTCGAAGGAGCCAGAATGTGCCATCCCATCGTATATCACTGCCTCTTCCTGTTTTTGTTTTTTTTAGCAAGCTAACTCCTGAATGAGTGTTGGGCCTGTTGTGTTCCATATAATGGCCACTGTTTGCTGTGTTTTCAGAGTAAAGACTTGCAACTAGACATCATCCCAGCCAGTGCTCCGGGGTCAGAGGTCAAGTTAAGGGATGCAGCCCATGAACTCAATGAGGAGAAGAGGAAATCAGCACGAAGAAAGGAGTAAGAGAAACAGACATTTTCTCAAGTCTCCCTGTCAAAACAACTAGTTAGGATTTGCTATCATGCGGAGCTTAATGTCAAATTACCCAGAACAAGAGCACAATATAATTACCAGTAAAATCTTCAAATTAAGTCAACACAGTACAGCAAAATGGTGACGCAGTGTGTGGTGCACTGTAACAATGAGGGCTGTTTTTCCTTAAGAGCATTTAATCATACAACTATCACTGTTTCAATGGAATGACTGGGGAAGCACTTTAAATGACTTGTAGGTTTATGAGGAAAAACCATGCAGCAGGGAGCCCAGGAACAGCCTGTAAATGGCTGTACATATGTTAACAACCCACCAGGGAGTTATAATGCATCAACCTACGGCATCATTGGTAATTTTTCTCCTACGTTTCCGCCTCGTGTTGCTGTAGATCAGGTGCTTTGCATCCATGTAAACCAGTAAATTGAACTTCAAAGGGTGAAGAGTTCTGCTGATGATGTGACTATATGCAAGAGAGGAAAAAAAACAACATTCTGTTTTAGACTGTAAATTAGATGTTTTGTCTTTGATACTCAATTTTGTGTTGTGGATAGGCTTTTTAAAGTCCCTGCTTCTGTTTAGTAATGACTAGCATAGGTTGACTGAATGTACAGTAAAAACAAAGTAACTGATTTTAAGACTTGTCCTTTCAGATTTATTATGGCAGAGCTGATTCAAACAGAGAAAGCCTATGTCAGAGACCTACGGGAGTGTATGGATGTGAGTATTGGACAGGCTGCACACACAGAGACTCAACATCCTCAAAATATTCAAATCACTCTTTATCTTTGAGCTGTATTATCTTTTACATTCAGATGGGTTACATTTTGCCAGCTAGTAACCTGTTTCCTGCATTTGAATAGATAAATTAGTTGGATCTTTTGGTGTTCAATAGATTTTTCTCTCCCGCACATGTATATGCAGACATACCTGTGGGAAATGACGAGCGGCGTGGAGGAGATTCCCCCTGGTATTGTCAACAAGGAGCTCATCATCTTTGGGAACATGCAGGATCTCTATGAATTTCATCACAAGTGGGTTTTGCATTGTTGTTCAGTGTTGTGCATGATGATCTGTCTTTCATATCAGCATCAGATAGAATGGTCTCAAATGATACGTTTGAAAAAATATTGATTTGTGTTGGCTTTATTTCTACAAATTGAGCTACTAAAATCTCCCCACAGCATCTTTCTGAAAGAGTTGGAGAAGTATGAGCAGCTTCCAGAAGATGTTGGCCACTGTTTTGTTACCTGGGTAAGAAATGAACTGCACATTTTTGTCTTTACTCATCATGCTCATTTTTTTACACCTATGCAATTCTAAATGTGTCACGGCGTTTGTGGTATTTGTTTTGATTGATTAGTGACTCTTGCCTTTTATGATCTTTCTCCAGGCTGATAAGTTCCAAATGTATGTGAACTACTGTAAAAACAAGCCTGACTCCACTCAGCTCATCCTGGAGCACGCTGGACCATATTTTGATGTAAGTGCCGTTGAATGAGTATGAACTGGAGATGTCAGGGTGAGGTTGTGTCTTCCTTCCTGCCATTTCTCACATTGTTTCTAATCCATATCCATGTGAATCACAGGAAATTCAACAAAGGCATCGTCTTGCTAATTCCATCTCCTCTTACCTGATCAAACCAGTACAGCGAATAACGAAGTACCAGCTGCTACTCAAGGTAAAGCCCACCATATCATCTGTCTAAAAGTGGTGTGTCTTTATTTGTTACAGCATTCTTTTGTTCAACGCATCTATATTTAAATGTATTTGTACGTTTGTTTTTTGCCATTGCAGGAGTTGCTAATGTGCTGTGAGGAGGGAAAAGGTGAGATCAAGGACGGCCTTGAAGTGATGCTTAGCGTCCCAAAGAGAGCCAATGATGCCATGCACCTGTCTATGCTGGATGGTGAGAATGCACCTCCTGCACACAGACACACATCTGTTAGTCATAGAGCTTCTGTGTTTTTATTTTTTTTATATTTTACTGTTGTTTAAACTTGAAAAACATTTTTTATCACTCTCTTTTCTAAAGTCATTGTGCACAAATCACCCAGCCATGACTCAGAAACGTTAGTCAGATTCCTTCCGTTGTGATGATGATAATTATAATAACACTGTAAAATGTCTGCCTTCCTACTCGCCTACCTGTCTTTGCCTCAGGGTTTGATGGAAACATCGACTCCCAAGGAGAGTTGATACTTCAGGAGTCCTTCCAGGTGTGGGATCCCAAGACTCTGATTCGGAAGGGCCGTGACCGACACCTCTTCCTCTTTGAGATGTCCCTCGTCTTCAGCAAGGAAGTGAAAGACTCCAATGGGCGCAGCAAATACCTCTACAAGAGCAAACTCTTTGTAAGAACAGTGGTGTTTCATTGGAACATGTTTCTCTGATTCAAACGGTCTGTCTTTTTTCCATTATAAGAATTTATCAATTTATCAATCTCAATTTTATCCCACTTCTTTTTTGTCCTTTTAGACCTCAGAGCTGGGAGTTACAGAGCATGTGGAAGGAGACCCTTGTAAGTTTGCCCTTTGGGTGGGAAGAACTCCCACCTCAGACAACAAGATTGTTCTCAAGGTATTTATGTTCATATTCATGTGAAAACTTAACACACATAACACTGGCATACATTCTAAACTTAGAGAAGAGCTCCCTAATTACTGCACTAACACTTAAAATGCTGCTATTTGGTTCCTCAAATGGAGGAATGGTCAAGACGTTTGTGTGTAGCCCACGCCTACTAAATCTTTCTTCAGCCAAGAAAGTTCATTGCCTGTAGGGAGATGGAGCGTTATTCGCTGCTATTTGTTCTGTCTTCGCACAGATATATTTGCATAGCAGTTGACAGGTCATTATTCAAACTTGCAGGCAACTTCATTGCCCTCACACAGTGAGTCAGATGTAATGTTTTATGCATGGAGTGTGTAGAAATGTGTAGTTATCCTTTTGTTTTTGAGTGTTAGGACATTACTCGTGGGTTGAAACATAAAGGCTTTAGAAATACAGCAGGGGAGAGAAGCATAAGGAGCTCCAGCAGCTATAAAGTGATCATATCAGACTTGTTTTATTTCCACACTGTGACTAGTGTGCCATAATAAAGCCCATACATCACCGTAGTGATCTTGCACAGTTACTTTAAGGCCACTGGGAATGCTGAAATGTTTTAATAGAGCTACTCAGTGAACAGATCCCACAGAATGTGTTAACACATCAGCATATGTGTTGTGTAGCTGTATCTTTTTTATTACATCATTTTTGTAGTATATCTTACACTGCTTCTTTTGTAACCCAGCTTCACAATCATATTGATGCCAGTTTTTTCAAAGAAATGGTAGAACAGTACCCAGAACTGGCAAGATAAGCACATTTAATATCCTCAGGCTGTCTGTGGAGCGTTGAATGAAGCAGAGGACGCTCTTGTTGGAATGTCACATTGTGCCTGAATATGGATGTGTGAGTCAAGAGAAGGGATTAGAGGGATCAACACTCATGTGGGATCAGACAGAACTATAATAGCTAAAGCAGACCTCATGCTGTGCACTTTACACTGCGTTATGAGTCGAGCAGTCATTCATTAGAGCCAAGTAAAAAATGTAACTGCCACAGTTTTTCTTTGCCATTGACACAGATGCACTGTGTCACTCTGTATCCGAGACGAGGCACTGACGCAGGAGCCGTGCACATTTGGGTTTGTCAGACTCAGCTATGTGCTTTGTTGTAGGCTTCAAGTATAGAGAACAAGCAGGACTGGATCAAACACATTAGGGAGGTCATCCAGGAGAGAACCGTCTACCTGCATGGGGCTCTGAAGGAGCCCATCCACATCCCTAAAGCCACGGCAACCAAACACAAAGGCAGACGGTGAGCAAAGAGCATCTTAGTATCAGCTTTAAAACTCATGTAAACAAGAACTTTTCTGAAATTTTTTGTTGTGAACATTGACTGTGTAACCACAGGGGGGAAAAAGACGGCGCAGTTCTAAGAAATTCCATATTTGTAGCAGTCGAGGGAATTAAATACTGATTTTTTTTTACCATAGGGATGGAGAGGAGCTGGACAGCCAGGGAGATGCCAGCAGCCAACCAGATACCATCTCTCTCGCCTCTCGCACATCCCAGAACACTCTGGACAGTGACAAGGTTAACACGAACACACAAACACACATATACGTGACCTTCTCTGTCCTTAACACATATTGAGCAGACATAGATGAAACACAAAATGTCATTTTCCAGTGTGTTCTGAAATCCTAAATAACTGGGTAGCTATCCTGTCCCTGAGCCTGCTAATGTCGTCACATGTGATCGTCACAAGCTGCAAACAGGCATCCTGACTTTGCTTCCTGTGAAGTGTCTGATGGTGTTGAGCGGAAGAAACAGTCCATCTGACAGGGCTAGAAAACATTGTGTGTGTGCTTTCTTCTACGTATCTGTGCCTGCATGAGAGAGAGGAAAAAAATATTAGCTCACTGGCAACAAGCATGGCTGGCTTCGGTTATATCTGGTAATAGCACCCCAGAAGGCTTATCCTCCTACGCTCAGTATGATCAATTGTAAAGCTAGCACACAGTACGCACAGTTTTAAAAAAATCACCCAGCGCACTGCCATTTTAATTATAAACTAGAGCAATGGACTGATACATAAGGTTATTATTTTCACACTTTGCTTGGACTTTCCCCAGCTCAGCCTCCTGGGGTGGTCTGTTATCTGAAAATAATAAATTGAGCATGCTTGGTTTCACAGTTTATTTAACTGTTGCAGTGGTGCAAAGCTCAGTTCTGCAGTCGCTTGGTGTGACGGTGAGGTGTGAAGTGAGTGCTGTGTGCTCTGGTGCATCTGTCTGCTTAAGTCAAAGCCGTTGCAGACGCTGATTAATTAAGAATTGCTCTCTCAGTTTAGAGCGTGCCTGCGTGCATAGAGATTCAAAACACACCGTAACACGTGCACATTTGAATGTGCATCTCATTCTCACTTGGTGAATGCATGGCTCTGTCCCTCACTCTCTGTGGGGACTCACATGAGACATTTCATTCAAGAGCCAGGGACAGTGGTGTGTTTGTGTTTGATGTATGTGTGTGCCCTCCTGTTCCGGTGTGTTTGCGCTGAAATGACTGACTTGTGTGTCAGTAGCTTCATCCTCCCACACGCTCTTCACAGAAGATGTTCGTCTGAATGCCAGACAGGAGAGCCCCGCTTCGCGTCCTCACAGCTATCGACATTACAAATCGCTTCAAATTTTTGGATACGGTCTTTTATTTTATTTAATTCTTTTTTTTTATGAGGTGGACATTAGAGATATACCTTTTGGAAAACAGGAGTTAAAAGAAGGATGACTTAATTGCAACGGAAAGGTGATGTAGAAGAAGGAATCATCCAAGCTTTGGTAGTCTAACTATAAGGACCCAAAGAGTTGTGCTGTTCGCTGTTACACTGAGAACAGTTTCCGAGATATATTTTAAGCTTTTTTAAGGATCAGACCTTTAATAGAATTACTTCGGACTCTTTTACCTGGAAAATCACTTCACGGGAGCAATTATTTCTTCGTTTTGTATAACAGCTGTAGTGATTGAGCGTTTTTTTTCTCCATGTGAAAAAGAACAGTTTGTGTAAACTGTGTTAAAACCTAAAAAAAAGAAACTGCTCACTGTTTGACATCTTTCACAATGAGGGAGTGGAAGGCAATCGACAAACTTGAGGAGAGGATTTCAAATCCAGTTTCTCAGCTCCTCAATTCCCTGGCTTTGCCACACTACCAAAGGGTATGTTGCAAATATTGGGTTTTTCTTTTCTTGTGTGGATTTGTGTGGTACCTTTTGCTATGAACAAATATAGCAAACTGCAGCATTTTCAGTCACATGTTAAACAGGATTACCTTTTAGGAATCTGCGTAGAAAATGACTGCTTTTCTTCTTGTTCCATCTGTTATCCTGCTGTTCTTTTCATGGCTGCCTAGATAAATAGGGTCAGATCGTCATTGACATTTTGTTCCGTTGTTCTCAAATGAGTCATAAACCATAATTGTGTTAAAACTTTCACTTCTGCTGCCGTAAGGAAAGGATGTCGTTACAATTTACCAGGTGCACCGCTGCAGGATTAGCTCTGCCCACATCAATATATGATGCCGGCCACTTTGAACTGTGACAAAAAACTTCAAATATGGAATTATGATCCAAAAAATCAAGATGATGTCTGTATTAAAAATGCATGGGCTCATGTTCCATGTTTTTTTAATTAATCCCTTGGCAATTAAGAGTAGCTATAACATTTGATCCTGATGATGACTTGGTATTGTGTACACCTTTTCAGATATAAAAAGCTAATTTCCTTCAAATAAAATGGTGACATTTTAGATATATTTTTGTTTCTTTCTTTCCAGCTCTCTGGAGGATGTGAGCTGACAGTGGTGATCCATGACTTTGTGGCCAGCAATGGTGGTAGCAATGGGGAGCTGACAGTGCGCAGAGGCCAGACCGTGGAGGTTCTGGAGCGACTCCATGACAAACCAGACTGGTGCTTGGTCCGCACCACCGACCGCTCGCCCGCCCAGGAGGGCATCGTGCCCTGCTCCATGCTCTGTATCGCCCATTCTCGGTCTTCTATGGAGATGGAGGGCCTCTTTAACCACAAAGGTAGGACCACAGAAATACCTACTTATTCTGATCATGTGTTGACTCTAAATATGCCTAAACTCAAGGCACACTTGAAAAAAATATCACTCACAGTCATCATCCTGTATCCGTCCCTTCCTAATCCTATTCTGGATTGCTGCAGCTTGTCCTGGCTGCCATTAGGCAAGAGGCAGGGTACACCCTGTACCTCACAGGGCCACACAATCATGCACACTCACACTCAACCTTCGGGTCAATTTAAGACCTCAATCAGCCTAACATACATTTTTGGATGATGGGAGGAAGTCGGAGTGCCCGGAGAGATCCCACACACACACACGGGGGAGCATTTAATCCCCTCACAGGAAGGCTCTTAGCGAGACTTGTGCCGAGATAACAGCCACACACCACCATGTGAAAAGGAAAGCTGATGGGATGCATTTCTTGTTTGCAGCCATGGCCTGTGACTTGCAGAACCTCCACTTAAAACGCAGCTGTTTGGGGAAACAAAAACATGTATCTTCAAGTGTTGCTATGCAACTGTCGGGAACCCATTTGAAGCAAAGCTACCTTTTAATTTTCTTTAAAATATTTTGACCTTTGACTTCCCCTCACTTCTAAGAACTGCAGGTCTAATTACCTGAAACGCTCATTTTGGTTTAAACATGCTACAGCAGGACCGACAAGTATAACAAACATGGCCATTTATAGGTGAAGTCCTGGAAGATATGACAGCCAGGCTCAAAGGTTTTGGCATTAAATTTAAAAAATAAAGTCATGATGAAGGTTCTTTACAAACTGTCATTCCTCAAAAATACTTCAGCAAAGTATTCTTTGTCATTGTTCTCAATGACATCCCCATGTTTTTTTTTTTAAACTTCCAAAGCATTGCAGTTGTCACACAAAGATGACTGTCTGCTTGGCTGTTGGCAGTTGATGTCAGATCATGAGTCCATCAAACATTTGCTCCTCCAGTGTTGTTTATCTCTTTTATTTTATTTTTTGGGACAGTAGGTGTTTTCTTCTTTTCATATCATCGATCCTGGAGTGTGGTGTTTCACTGAATAGACAAAGCTAAGCAGGTTTCTTTCGTTGTGCAGTGTACAGTCAGTTCACAGGCCATTGTATATGTCCATCATGTCCTAAATCTTTAATTCATAAATTAGTTTGTTCTTGTGACCTGCACATTTAGAATCCTAGAGGGTAACTAAAGACAGATCTTTGCTTTTTTGGGAGTTTGGAGTTACAAGCTGCTCCTATGGCTTGACAGAAGCTTCTGCTTGTGCCTTTCTCCTTTGGATCTGGAAGAATGGGTGAGAGTGGGACTGATTGTTTCTATGGAAACTTAGATTACAAATATTTTGCTCGCAGCGGCTTTGTAGTCAGAATGGGGAAGGTCTGCGGTGTATTTAAATTGTACGTGCCGGTATTGCTCATCCATTATTGCAGAGCTTTGGCATGAGATTTATGATTGACCTGAACCACCCAGGGAGAAAGTACAAATTTCCCAACTACTGATTTTACTCTTACAACTCCAGCTGTGATGCTTCTAATCGTGTTTTGTGTCCACTGAGTCCCTGACTGCCCCAAACCAGCCAGTTTGTATTGTTCCTGTGGCCAGAGGGAATGATTAAAGGAATCCTCTCAGCAAGGGGTTGCACTAATAAAAAATAAAAAGGCTGTCACTGAGGGGAAGGGGGCGAACAAAGATGATAAAGAATGTCTTTGCTCCAACGTTAGAGTCTTACTTTTGTTGAGCAGCAACTTTTGCCCTTTTGTTCAGAGGTAGTTAGGGTGGAACGCATCAGTGGGTTTGAGTGTTGTCCAGGAAATCGCTCTTGTTTTCTCACAAAAGGAATTATTGATCTGCAAAGAATTGAGTTGTTCTCATACTGAGAAGTTAGGCTTCAAAGTTAATTAGAGCAGAGATTACATGTTGTTTTACTTGGAAATGGCTATTTACATATTCAACGTGTTTTCAGAATCTAATGCTTCTGCTGGGTATTACATAAACCTACATATTCCTTTCAGAATAAACTTGCATCTGTGTGCTATGTTCATGCTCACATGATTATTTTGATTTCCCTATTTAACAAACAAGTTGACTCTCCATGTCACCAAGAATTAGATAGATAAAGACGCGGGTAATTATTGATAAAAAACGCTGTGAATGGATGTCAGTTTGGTGGGCCTGTCCTTAGAGGATGGGGTGTGTTCAGAGCTCAGGGAGACCTGGCGTTGTGGCGTCTTTGTGCACCTAGTCTGCGCATTTGTTAGGAAGTGAAAGGTGATTTTATATTTATAACGGACTTGTAATCATTTTACTGTTCACTTCAGTTACATTTTATAACCAGGTCTATATTTGGTCCAAACATACTGTTCAACTTGTATGCATCCTAGTTCCTGTAAAATATTCACCCGCCCACATAAACTGAGTAGGCGCCTCTACTGAGGGTAATACGGTAGATGTGCTGCCTGTTTCCAGACGTCCCTTTGGAACAGGAGAGGCACAGTGGAGGTTTGCCCAATATCCTCACGGCAGCCCACTCAAGAGAGTGGGAGGGAAGGAGATACAAAGAAAGAGAGAGAAAACATCCTACTCTCTAATGCTGCATTTGACTTGTTCCTTTTTCCTCTCCCTGGATTTTACATTTTCTGTCCCTGGAATGTCAGTTCGATCTCTGAGCAGTGTCATTTTCATTAGCAGCTATATTTCATCACTGCAGCAGTTGAGACTTTAACGACAGCTTTGATTCGATTGGAAAGGCAATAAGGGAATATTTCTGGTTGGAATTCCGGAGGCTTAAATAGTGGCGAACATGGCCCGTGGAATCGAGTCATTAGTCTCTTTAAACCCGTTTTTCTCAATGGACTTAACAGGGGGAGAAAATCCTGACAACTGCAAGTTCTGGCTGCTGGATCTGGGTAGGTGCCCCACCACATGGAACAAATGAGCAACGCTGTATGCTGTCGGATGCGTGTACATTTCTATTTCTGTTCTCATTCTTGTTCTTCTTAAAAATAAAAAAGGTGGGAACTGTGAAAAATAGAAAGGATAATACTTGATAGATTATTCTTTTTAACTGTTCGGATGTAACTGTATGTTCAAAAAGTATTACAGACTCTGATATGATAATGAGTGTCAGTTCTGGGTAAGAAACAAGCCAGGGTTACACACTGTTTTCTTATTGACAGCTTGTTGCTTCTCCCGCTTCCAGGGCTATATTTACAGTTCACCTGTGGATTATGTTTGTGACATTTTGTCTCTGAAAGTAATTTGGTGAATGGATCATTATGTGATGAGGTATTAAATCTCTTGCAATTTCATTCAAAAGATTATGTCTTTGTTAATATCTGCCTGCTCAGTCAAGCAGGTGCTGCACAAATGGGCAGAGGATGTTGCTGTAGACCCCAGGGACACGAAAGGAAATGAAGAAATGTAAATCTGTAACAAAGTTTTTCACATCCGTTTGTGTCACCAATATCTTCGGTGCACAGTCTTAGAAAACATAACAAAGAGTATTAAGTACAATTTGTCAGGTTGTTTGGCAGGTGGTGTCTCCTCTCTGGACCCCCTGGTCTAACTATAGTTTTTGGAGGCAAGCCTACTCCAGCATGGTCTACATTACAGTTTGACATGCCAATCCCTCAGGGCTTTCCCATAACCTGCATCCCTAATAACAGCTCTCCAACCACAACAACTGATGTTAGTGTGTTTTGCATCACATCTCCTGGGGAAGACAAGACCAAACAAACATGAAAATGTTCCCCTGGCAACACCTCTGGAATCCCAGGCATGCCCCAGCGGAGCTGTGCAGACTTCTGGGAGCACTGCAGTTGTGCATCTCTCTTGTTCTGAGAAAGATCTCACATGTCCTGCACAGCAGTTTGGATGAGCGGAGACTGAGGATGATTTAGTTTCGGCAGCTTGCAGCTAAACACATAAACATCTGTGGATGCTTGACAAACACCTGTTTGATTCTTGTTTTGTCCCGTCATGAACCTAGATAATATCATTTGTTTGCATGGGAGCACTGGCCAATGACATCTAAGTTTGACCACTTAGATGTGGAGACTCTGGAAGGTTTTTACAATCAACTTTTACTGTGTGGTTACATCATCTATACTAGTGTAAGTGCATGCATTTGTGTACATTTATTAGAGGTTCACTGTTCTATGCAGTGAAGCAAATAATGTGACAATTAAATTCAGCACACTCCCATCAGCAGAACGGTACTGATGAGTCTGCTGATGACTTAATCAGGAAGCAAACCTTTGTTTGGATATTGCTCCCGGCACAGGGACAGCACTTCACTAATGGAATCAGGATAATAATTTTAGCAAAGATTGAAAGGCGTATTAAAACACACTTTAAAGCTTTTGCAGGGAAACGCCGACCGCTCAAAACGTTTTGAGGATATTGTTTTGGATGGCAGATGGCACAGATAAGAGGAGGATTTTTTAAGGGTTTGGGCTTTTTATATGCACATAATAATCCTGAAATCGGTTTTGCCGCAGCATTTGTTCAGCTTCGAGTAAGTGGGCATCAGTTTGAATGTTAGCCCAGCACCCTAAACACACCTAAACCCTTTAACACTGAACTAGCATAATGTCTGGCATGATTACAAATGAAGTAAACCATACAGGGTGAAGGACAAGGATCATGCACTCTGTGAATGTGTCTTTAAACTTATTTCCCAGCCGGGAGGAATGAGTCAAGGCTGCTGACCCCGTGTTCCACACGTTTACACCCTCGTTCAGGCAGCCCCTTCAGTCAGAGTGTGAATAGGCAACTAAATGCTTTTCCAGTCACGAAACATGTAGTGGACGTTATGGATTTCTCTGTTCTATGTTTTTATAGCCAAAGGCGCTGTGTTTTTTCCTGGAGCCTATGTTTTTTACTTATCAATAATTAAGCAGAAGTCACTCTCAGCTGGAGCAGGATGGATCGCTCCCCAGGGTTAACCTTTACAAGACAAGAAACATGATTTGTGCCCTCCAAACTTGTTCTGTGCAGTCACAGATCTACTTTCCAACATTGTGGTTGTATGCTCCCTTGTGACCCAAGCGTGTCTGCAGGAAGCACGGTCTGTTTGTTCTGCAACCCTTCTGACTTCTTCACGCCGCCCCGATTTCTCTGCTCCCAAACAGCACTAGCTCGCCGCTGCCTGCTCTCTTGTTTTATTGGAAATGTTACATAAATGAACGTTTATTTCTGTTCATATTGAATTGTTTTTTACTTTGATTCATTTTTAGCCACTCAGTTCCTTTATTGTTTCTAAAAAAGGCTCAATTGAAATTATTTTCAGTGTTTAAAACGTTAAATTATGCAATATATCATGCTCCCTTTGTCTATGGTTTCCAGCCTTTACCACATGTTTTTCACTAACATTTTCTTATTACGGTGCCTCGATTTTGCAGTCTATGCAGGATACCATTTGTGTGTGCTGATTTAGTAATGAAGCTGCTTTCGTAGATGCGACTCACACATTGTTCTCTAATGCACTCACAGTTGACACCGTTGCTGGATTTTGAACTTTACTCTGATAATAAGCCAAACAGTTCCTCTTCTCTTTATCCCTCAGCACTATGTGTATCTATTGAAATCATTTCAAAATTTGAGCACTCACATAGAAACTTTCCACATTTCCTCAACCTTTAAAGGTCCACGGAGTGATAGTATGGGAGACTGATTCTTAGACACCTAAAAGTTAGCCCCCAGGATTCACTGAAAAGAAACAGAGCAAAAAAATGTCACATTATAAAGAGTGAGTCCTTATCATCTCTTATCAATGGCAACGGAACATTTTTAGACATTTTTTCTTTCAGATCTGCGTAACATAATCGATGCATAACTTTAATGGATGCTCTTTTTAATTCATGTTCTGTTTTAACGTAGTTTTGTCCACATACATTGATGATGTCAACATACAAGCTTAAACTGTAGATTATTTTAAGTTCTCATAAACAAGGAGGAGATTCATCAGTTTAAACTGATGAATGATTATACCTGTGAAGCAGGATTGCATTGTTTGGAGAAACAGGAAAGAAACAGGAAATTAGATTTTTTTTAAATGTTATCATATGGTGGACCTGAATTTGGGCCAGTAAAATCCTGACTTGGCAGCTTTGGTATTTTAGAATCATTAAAAGATCCTGACTATGACTCAGAGTGTTCAGTAGGAGATGGTGAGAGCTGTCTCAGAGGAGTCTTTATGCTGCCTGATGTGCTTGTTTTTCTAGGAACTTCTCTGTCCTTTTCAGTTACATGCACTGTGAGAACACATGCTTCCTATAATAAGTCAGCAGTAAAAGTCTGAATAACTGGCACGCATGTGCACATGCAGATGCTTTTGTTCAGGCTATGTGAAAGTGTTCTGTGAGAGAAAGAAAATGTCCACACCTTCCATCTATAAGAGTCATTCAGCTGAGTCACATGATTTAATCTTCAGCAGCTGCAGCTGTTTAACACTTTAAAGAGATAAATTATACCAAAGCCAGAAACTCTCAAAACTAGTCTTTAATCAAATGAAATTAATTTGATTAAAAGTGCCCAAATTACATATTTTTCTATTGTTTTGAGATTAAAATGGATATTTCAAAAGACACTTGAGGGAACCAAATGAAAAGCAGTTAACATATTTTGCCTAATGAATACCACTGAGTGCAAAGCTTGGCCCCCATGTTACATAATGAGAAATAAAATCAAGAGATACTATCCATAGAGCAACTCGGATAACTTGCTGAGCCAAATGATAATTTTATTTCCATCCATCTATTTGTGGATTGCAAAATCAGAGATGGAATTTTGTGAAAAAGGGGGTTGACATGAAGGAAGCAAGAATGGTAAGAGTAAAGGTGCAGAGACAGGTGAGAGAGTCATTAGGAGACGTCTTTGAAGTGTACAGACAAAGCCTCAAGCATCCCTCTATAATATGTTTTCTCTGCTCCATTTCTGGTCGACAAAAAGCCGTCCTCCTACAGATTCCCCAGGGCACTGTCATCGCTGTGTGGAGGAGTTCTGCTTGCCTACTGAACATAACACAACCAGCACAATCTCCAACATAGTGACTTTTTTCTGTTTTCAATAACTCTTGAACAAGTCGGTTGTTCGCATTTTGTGGGGTGTTTGTTTTAGAAGAGATAACTGTGGTGACTGCTCGGTGAATAGATCAACTTGTCAATTAAAGCAAAACAAAATGAATTATTACCATCTTGTGTCTTTTAGATGACATTTCTGGTGTTTGGTTTTCATTGAGGATTGAGGAAGTCATTGCTAACTTCCTCTTTTGCTTTCTCCTGCTTGCATTTAGACACCTTGTCTGTATCCAGTAATGACGCCCTGCAGCCGGGCTCCAGCCACACCCTGGGCCCACACAGCTCGCCGGGCCCCAAACGTCCTGGCAACACTTTAAGGAAGTGGCTGACGAGCCCAGTGCGGCGGCTAAGCTCCGGGAAAGCTGATGGCCACGTCAAAAAGCTTGCACAGAAGCACAAGAAGAACCGCGATGGCACAAGGAAGAACATGGACACCATGCCAGGGTCGCAGAAGGACTCCGACGACAGTGCGGCCACCCCACAAGACGAGACTCTGGAAGAAGTAAGAGCAGATGCCATGAAAATGGTCAGACCTGTGAAACATGGAGACCCAGTTTGGATTGTGGAGCGCTTTCCGAAATTCACCCTTTGTCATTTTCATCCAGCGTATGCGTAACGAAGGGCTGAGCAGTGGAACCTTGTCCAAGTCTTCCTCGTCGGGCATGCAGAGCTGCGGCGAGGAAGAGGGAGAGGAGGGGGCCGACGCCGTCCCTCTGCCTCCCCCTATGGCCATCCAGCAGCACAGCCTGCTGCAGCCAGACTCTCAGGATGACAAGGTGAGCCACAGAAACCTGAGCCCGAAAACCAAAATGGCAAGTTTGTAATTGAAAACAACCTAAACAAATATTGATTTATGGGTTTTGATATATGGATTGGGCTGTGCTTGCTCAAAAAAAAGGAAAACATCTTTCAGAATTCCTCTTTTCTATCAACTCGGAGCTAACAATCACACGACTAAACCTTTGTTTTGCACTAATAATTTTTTTCTTTCTCTTATTTTCGAAATGGTTGCATGTTGCCTCTCCAGCATTATGTTGATTTTTGTTCTGCCTCTCTTCTGTCCCAGTTTCCTTATCTGTCCATGTAAATACACTAACCATTTCCATGTCCTTTGGATCCTACTTATTTTCCCCTCTGTGGTTTAATGAACTAACAGATTGTCACTCCATTGGAATCTTGTTGTTTCACTGTTACCGAAGTGAATACTCCATTCACAGGTTTCTGCTGTAGAGAGGTGTTTGTGCAACCAAATGGTTATGTTCGGAAATCCCTATGACTTTCCCCTGCCATTAAGCGACAGACTGAGCTCTCTTGCTGAGGCTTTCTGTCCAATGGAGTATTAAGCAACACTTGCTTGACCATATGTGAGTTTATGACCAATCACAGTGAGTGTGCCTAATTAAGAGCCATCCAATCCTATCCTATGCTCCTAACCACCCCAAACCTCATTATCCCGTTTCCCTAAAACCAGCCTGTTATTGGCTCCAACTTGGCCTTCAGTTAACCATTTCATTAGGGAGATAACACACACCAACAAGTCCTTTTTGGACATATGGAATATCGGGGGTCCGAACACGTCAATGGTGAGCTTGATCACAATTGAAAATGTACAGTTGCATGCAGATGTTGATGAGAAATGTCTCTGTTATTAGATGCTAGATTATCACTGTTTTTGTTTTAGATATATGTTTGAAATATTTACGTCCCCAGGTTAACAAAAAAAAGGGTACTGGCCCACATCAGCAGTGTCATGCATGGTCATAACTGTTCACAATACTTTGACAAGCATCTTAGCTCGCAAATGTGTGGCTTCCTCTTTCTTCTAAAATATTTTTTTATTTCTGTGAGATCTGTGGGCTGTTTCTAAATAGTTGATGCCCTTTTGGTCAGGTCACAGAAGCTATCATACTGTACTCAATAGCAGGGAAGTTGAAGGCCCCTGCCTGCTCTGAATCTGGTTCCTGTAAGCATGCAGCATGCTATCTTTTTCATACGTCTGGGTCCATATATTAAGCTCATATTTCCTTCCATTGTGGCTGTATCTTTCAGTCTGCGTCTCGCCTCTCCGCTCGTCCCAGTAGTTCAGAGACACCCAGCGCTGCTGAACTGGTCAGTGCCATCGAAGAGTTGGTGAAGAGCAAAATGGTGAGTTACACGTCACCAACAACACATACAAGTTCTTGCTAATGGGCCACACTTGGAACACAAAACAATTCTGGTCAACGTGCGCACACATATACACACAAACACACACACACACACACACGTTTTCTCTGGTGTTGGTGACAAAGAATGGCTTCTGAGCCTACTTGTCATCTGTCAGGACTCTGACTAACCATACCAGCTGTCCTCTGTTCCAAAAAACAGCATTGGGTTCTGGCAAATATCCCCAACACACTCATGCCCGCTGGCCCACATACAGTACATACTTCATTTTACTGTAGGTAAAGAACTGACATAGTAACTTGGTGTTGACCTCCTTTTCGTATTCTGTTTTTCACCCCCTTTGTGCTCCTCTTTTGTCTTCTCTCTATGCTCCTTAGTCGCTGGAGGACCGTCCCAGTTCTTTATCAGTGGAGCAGGGCGACAGCAGCTCTCCATCTTTCAACCCCTCTGATAACTCACTCCTCTCCTCCTCCTCACCCATCGATGAGGTGGATGAGCGCAAATCTGGTTTTCTCAAGAGAAGGCAGTGAGTTAAATGCCTTGCGTCATGTTAGCTTTTCAATGAATAAAAGCTGCTTTTGTCCACAAATAACATGTGTCCGCAGGAGTTTTGTGTGAAACGTTGCTTTTGTTTACCACGGCTGAGCCTTACAGTTGCATTTAACAGTGGGAATTCCTGTGTTTTTGTCCCAGTTACGTGCTCCTGGAGCTGGTGGAGACTGAGAGAGACTACGTGAGAGACCTGGGATCTGTGGTTGAGGTAAAAAATGAAGAAAGAAAATTGGCCCCATAGAAAGTGTTGCGGTCGTTTGTTTTTTTCTGTGAGTTTTACAGATGATGTTACTTTTTCTGCTTTCAGGGCTACATCAGCAGGATGAAAGAGGAGGGCGTTCCAGATGACATGCGAGGAAAAGATAAGATTGTCTTTGGAAACATCCATCAGATATACGACTGGCATAAAGAGTAAGCTAACAGTCGTCTTCCTTCGACACATTCTTCTTCAAAAAAAGTTGGGATTCAAACTTTTAACATATGCCATAATGTCTGGGCAAGCACAGCTGAAATACAACAAAACACACAAAATAAAGAGGAATTTGTTCTTCATGGTTGATGAAAACAAAAGTTTCTCTCTTAATCTGTGCAGTTTTTTCCTCGGAGAGATCGAAAGGTGTTTGGAGGATCCGGATAGGCTGGCTTCTTTGTTTGTCAAACAGGTAAGAGCTTTTCCATTTCAATTTCCATTTCATTTCATTTGTTTTACATGCATTGTTTTTCAATGTTTTTGCCAACCAAATCTATTCTAGAAAAGTAATAGCTAAAAAAAGTTGTTTTCTTTTCCAATAACAGGAGCGGAGGCTGCACATGTACATTGTGTACTGCCAGAACAAGCCCAAATCTGAGCACATTGTGTCAGAGTATATTGACACTTACTTTGAAGTAAGATTGCTAAATGATTTCATACCTCTACAGTACTTTGTGTCATCTGGTTAGTGGATAGTAATTAATTACAAATACATAACATATTTCTGTCTTTCCTCAGGACCTGAAACAGAGGTTGGGGCACAGACTGCAAATCACTGATCTGCTGATCAAACCGGTCCAGCGCATCATGAAATACCAGCTACTACTGAAGGTAAACTCCTATTTTGGACCCTGCAGGCTGCATTCAGGGACCCTTCCCCTTTAACACACAGAGTGGAACAGCACATACAATATAAATACAAACATTTAACTTAATCTCTGACTTGACAGGATCTTCTCAAAGTTTCTAAGAAGGCGGGCGTGGATACGACAGAGCTGGAGGTACAGTAAGACTAGCTGTTCAGGCCTCAACACAAACAAAACACACTATGACCTGTTTAATGATATATGATGGCTAAAAGAAATGGTCCTAACTATCTTAAACAGAGACCAATTTCTGTATGAGGCTTCACCTGATTTTTAAGAAATGACTTTGTCCTGAAGTTTCCTTTACTTTCCTCATGTAGAAAGCAGTGGAAGTGATGTGTGTGGTCCCAAAGCGTTGCAATGACATGATGAATGTTGGACGCCTTCAAGGTTTCGAAGTAAGTCTGTTCCGCATGCTCCTTGAGTTGTTTGTACCTTTTTAAACATGGTAGTGAATTTGTATCCTGTAAGTAAATTGTAGTTCAGGTGTGTTTACACTAGGTGTCAGCGTGTCACCTGAGTTTTAAAAGAAAGAAACAGCCTTTGTGTTCTTTGTGTTCTTCTCAGGGTAAAATTGTGGCGCAGGGCAGATTGCTCCTCCAAGACACCTTCATGGTTTCAGACCAAGATGGAGGCCTCCTATCCAGGATGAAAGAAAGGAGGGTGTTTCTTTTTGAGCAGATAGTTATTTTCAGTGAGCCCCTGGACAAAAAGAAAGGCTTTTCTACCCCTGGCTACCTCTTCAAGAACAGCATCAAAGTGAGAGCAGCTCCATGAAGTCACTGAAATCTGCTAAAGCTTTTCCCAAACTGCTAATCCTGTTCTTAATTGCTTTTCCTCTGTTCTCTTTTTTGCCAGGTGAGCTGGTTGGGACTGGAGGAAAATCCTGATGACCCCTGCAAGTTCACCCTGACCTCAAGGTCTTCTAGTGGTAACCTGGAGAGGTACACCCTCCATTCAGCAAGCCCTGGAGTCAGTCAAGTCTGGATCCATCAGGTCAGCCAGATACTGGAGAACCAGCGTAATTTCCTCAATGGTAAGAGGGTGTCTTATATTGATTGCCATGCAAATATAAAACATTGTGCAGATATGTTTGTTTGAGCACCAAATTACTGCAATTGTTTGGCCATCCAGAAATGAAGGCTGTTGCGTTTTCCACAAGCCTTTATGGAAATGTGGCTTTCACGACATGAGAGGACTTTTTTTTTTGTTTTTAATTCCGCTCCCGCAGCCCTGACGTCACCCATAGAGTACCAGAGGAACCATGTGGGTGGCGGAGGACCGAGCGGGCCGCCCAGCAGCAGCAGCAGTACGGGAGGCCTTCCAGGAGGCAGCAGCAGCAACAGTACCTCCAGCATGGGTGGAGGAGGTGGAGGAGGAGGCTCTGGAGGATCAGGGGGCAACTCATCTTCCCTGTGTGGCCCTCGCTCCCGACCCTCCCGAATCCCGCAGCCATCCTCACGCCTTCCACAGCCCGTTCACCACCACCACCCCCCGGGCCCTGAGGGGCCCGACAGATCAGCAGGTAGGTGGTCACCCTGCCACCCGCAGTCCCCTCAGCCCCCTTCCCCCAACCCCTACTCAGACAGCACAGCAAATGGAGAACTTTTGGCACCAGAGGTCCCTAAGATGAGGATGCTGGATGGCCCTCGTAGCAGTAACTGTAATAACAGCAACAGGCCGTCAGGTAATAAGGACAGTAGTATCAGACAGGCTCCGGGAGGCTACGAGGAGACACCGAAGCATCAAGCATCTTTACCACAAATGTCTGTGGTTCCTCTCAATTTTCCACACAAAAGTTCACGAGTTGGGACAGTTTCCCCCCTGGTTTCACCTCAGACCCCTGGAGGAAAGGAACCATTTGTCCCCTCAAGTCCAGCACACAAAGGGAACCCTTTCTGGGCCATGGTTCCGCCCGTACCTCCCTCTCCTGCCGGCAGGCCGGCTTCCTTCTCCTTCCCTCATGACAATAGTGGTGGAGGTGACTCTTTGGGCAGAGGAAGTCACGGGGCGTCCTCTCACCACCGCCACTCCAGCCACAGTAAGGACATAGATCGCATGAGTACCTGCTCCTCCACCAGCGAGCAGTCAATACACTCCACCCAGAGCAACGGGGTAAGATGCCAAGTCCAGGTTTGGGCTTCGGTGAGCTCTCACTTGTCACTAACCCCTCCCTCGCTGACCGGCTGGCCGTCAGTCACCCAGCCGCTGCCTCAAAGCTTGTACATGCAACAACTACTACTGCTGAAACACTGACTGACTGAAGATTAACGGCTATCTGCGTGCACTAACTCCACCGACAGTGTGTGAGGGATGTTTCTGCGGCCCTTTCGGCGTGTACTAACAGAGTGGATCTGACTCACAGAACACCCGTTGTTTCGGCTTTTAAAGATGCTCTCTGTGCACCTCAGTATGCGTTTGCTTTTCCACTGTAACTGTCAGACACTAACCAAATGGGCTCAAAGCACCATCAGTCTTTTCCAGTCATTCCTCAGTCTAAAAATATTAGTCTCATCTCGACTTTGCAGTTTGTCTGCACCGTCTTACTTTCTGCTTCCTGCAGCTTCTCTGTTTCTCTGAAAGTTTCTTCCATTTGTCCTCCTGATGGCTCCTCAAAGAAAAGGTTGTCAGCATCTTTGACCTGAGGATTTTTACTTTTGCATCAAAACCTTTTTACTTCATGCTTTGTTTTATAAAAGAAAGTTGTAAAGAACTTTTAAACTCGACCAGTTGCTTTTCAAACATCTGTGAAATTAGAGAAAGAGACTTTTGGTAACACCTCCATTACCGCATGCTATGAATAAACTTACAAGATTACTTCTGTAACTTTTTCCATCAATCAAATCACACATTTGATTGGTGTGTTTAGCAAATACTCGTATACTTCATTTTCATTCATGTATGCACACTTTTTCTGAGTGTTTGTGTGTGTTATTTTGGTTTCTGTGTGGGTGGAAGGTGTCAGTGATGTGCTCCGTGTTATTTTCTCAAGTTTAACTATCCTCTTCTCCAGCAGAGTGAAAGCAGTAGCAGCAGCAGCGTGTCCACCATGTTGGTGACCCAGGACTATGTGGCGGTGAAGGAGGATGAGATCAGTGTGGCGCAGGGTGAGGTGGTCCAGATCCTTGCCAGCAACCAGCAGAACATGTTCCTGGTGTATCGGGCCGCCAACGAGCACTGTCCTGCTGCTGAAGGTTGGATCCCAGGCTTTGTGTTAGGACACACCTCATCCTCCATCACACCCGAGCTTCCTGAAGGAACCATAAAGTAAGAGGGAGACATTTTTTTTTTTTGCTGGTATGATTAGCACATGGCAGCTAGGATGAGCTGCCCAAACATGAAAGCACAGATAAATAATAACAGTGAAAAATGTTGTTTTTTCCGGTTTGGTTCAGAAAATCATCATCGTGGCACACAGCACTTCGTATCCGCCGAAAGTCTGAGAAAAGAGACAAGGAGGGCAGGAAAATAGAGAATGGATACCGGAAATCACAAGACAGCCTGGGCAACAAAGTTTCTGTCAAGGTGGGAGGTTGAAGTTAACTTTTTTCTGAGCTCAAATGAAGACATTACAGTTTGTGCCAGAGATCTAATTTTTTCCATACATTTCCAGCTTCTGAATCCCAACTACATCTATGATGGTAAGTTGCTTTTAGTTGAAAAGAAAGAAAGAAAGAAAGAAAGAAAGAAAGAAAGAAAGAAAGAAA